ATATATATATATATATATATTAAAGAAAACCTCATTCTCTTGAGAGGAAACAACTCAAAGGATTCCAATCACCACACTCTAAGAAAAAAAGATAAAACAAAAAAAGAAAGGTAGAAAAGAACGATCACCTATACCACCTGTATCACCTGTAGTACTACCGATCGTCGAGTGACTCGAGCGGGCCCCAGTAAACCTTACATTTATTCTCTGCCGTGTGCAAGAATATTCCATCGGGTTCTCTACGCTGTAGCGACTCGTCGAGCATCATATCTTTCTTCTGGTCTCTTCGTGAAGAACTCTAACCATCGGGTCAGTGATCTGTCTGGTGTTCGTTTGACATTCCGAAGGATCCAGCCACTAATAGTTCTTGTCCATCGGTTGTCGTTCATACGCATTATGTCCAGCCCACCTTACCTTCGACAATTTGGCGCACAAAACAGACTTAGGTCGGACTGCTACCACCTTCTTTATATTATTCATATGAATGCATGTATAAAGGTTTAATTACTCAAGTATGGGTACCTGTTGTGAACTGAACAATCAATAAGACCCGCACGACACTGCAAGCAGATATACACAATCAGCTTATTTTTGTGTTTTACCTCATACAAATCAGCAAATTGATCCCAACACTTTCTATTCAGAGCCCGACTTCTCACGTTCATTTGGCAAGTATAACCTAGCAATCTATGGTAGTACCTTAATGGTGCCCTCTCTATTCTACGATTCCCATCCACAGCATCTCAAATATGTAAAAGGTGACATTTACCTATTATTGCATTACTTACTTACTTGGTACTTGAACGGCCCGCCCTCACTAGTTGTGCGGGCCCAACATAATCTCCATTTTTCGGAGATTTGCTGGTCAAGCCAATGTGGTTCCCTGAAATCACGAGGTCAGCATGGCCAAAATCTGCCCCAGGTTTTCATCACCACAGGCACTCGCAGCTCTTGTGAACCAGAGGTTTGCCACCATGCGATTAGTTTGATACAAGCACGGTGGTGGATCCCAACATTGGTTTACTCCTAGCTAGGTTTCCTGATGGAAACGCCGGACTCCTTCTCAGCTTGGGAGACCATAGCAGAGAATGAATCCCCCACTGTACATAGCAGTCCTACACTCAGGAACACCTACGATGAGGCGGTAAGCCGTTGGGAGGATTATTGCATTAGTTACTTGGATACTTCGATGGCCCGTCCTTATTGGTTGTGCAGGCCCCAGCATAACCTCCATTTTTTCAGAGATTCGCTGGTTTAGCCACCGTGGTTCCCTGGAATCCCGAGGTCAACCTGGCCAAAGTCTGTCTCAGGTCGTCCCCACCGCAGGCAGTCGCGGCCCTTGTGGATCAGAGGGAGAACAGCGGCTAGTTTGATACCAGGACGGTGCTGGATTCCGATATTGGTTTACTCATAGCTAGGCTTCATGATGGAAACGCCGCACTTCTTCTCAGCTTTGGAGGCTTTGCCAGACGGATGAATCTCCGCTTTACATCGCAGCCCTACACCCAGGAATACCTCCCAGCTACGATAAAGCGGTAAACCGTTGAGGCGGAGGTTTTTGCATTACTATTTATTATTACGAAACTCTTTGTTGACAAATCCATGATATGATACAAATCCAATTATGAGATTGGAGCATTGCAAATCACATACCAAAGACCGTTCAACTAACCAGTCGCTGCACTACCTATCATTTATTCAGCTAATGAACAACTGCAAATTTGGCACATCGGTCATTGAAATATTTAGTGCATTGGTCAAACCTACTACATAAGAGTTGTTTCTATGCATATCGAAACTCGTTACTGTGTTGGATAGCTATATGTTGGAGTGAAGGCATACATCGATAGCAAATGAATTAAAATGCACGAAAGACGTTGCTCCTTTTGGTGTATTTACACCTATCATCTTGCCAGTCCTCTAGTCATGATCTACATATACTGCAAAAAAGGGTCCTCGTTACTGTGTTGGATAGCACATGAAGTCCTGATAAGGGCAATCGCAGGCTCTAAGCCCAGTTGAGGTTTATGGGTTCTACTCATATCTCAGTAACCTCATGGTTATATTTCACATCATATCTCGCCATGATCATAGAGATAACATTTGAATCTGCATAAGGACAAACTAAACTCTGGATCTGTGGACACCCGAAGAATAAAAATTTGCTACTGCAGACAAATTCTTCCGTTCTCATGTAATTTGATTCAAACTTTGTTTAGTAATTCCTGAAGACAACATATCACACGAAGATGTCCACAAGACAGAACCTAGAAACAAAAACAAGAACCTCTTGTGAATTGTTTACCAAATAGGGACGAATATACACAAATGTTGACAAACAGTCAGGTGGAAGTTTACAGACAAGAAAATTGTTAAGCGTTTGCAACTCCCCTTTACGAGCCCACAAAGTCATTAAAAACACATTAAATGCTCTACAATGAATACGTAGTAATCATAAAATAACATAGTTCTTAGTGAAGCGAGCAACTCCTTGCTCATTTTGAATCCGACCAGAACAGTTGGAAAAGTGACGAGAAACCATTTTAAAGTTAACTATTAAAACTGTTAAACTGCCAAAGTTGAAACTGTTAAAAGTATAAACAACCACAAATGTAGTTTCACCTGAGCATTTATGCTTGCAAGTAAGCACGTAGGAAAATCACATCTAAGCAGAATCACAGCTATAGAGGTTCAAATTACAAAATTACTAATGGATGAGACAGCAAGAAACCACAACTTGCCTTTGACGGCCTCGTTGAGGAATTAGTCCTGATATAAACTGCACGAAGTATACGGAAAAAGCAAGATAACAAAACCTCAAGTGAAGGTTAGTTCCACAATTACTGGTGAAACCATTCCACATATTCATTTCTCTGACTGCCGTTCAATGTAATCACGCAAACTGTTCACATAATCGATGAAATAGCTATGCATTTTTGATTGTGTTAATCTCTTCGGTAAACCACCTCTAAGATCAGTTCGCATTATCCATTCCAAATAGGATTTCCCGGTTGCGGCATCGCTTCCTGCACGTATACAGCTTGGACCATTCATACCTCTACAAAGAAAAGAATTGAATTTATGAAGTCTTCCAAAATTTAACCACTCAGTCCTTTAATACTGTATGCAAATACCACCTAAAATAACATTCCACGGCATTCTTTTACAATTTTACCATCGGCCCGTAGTACTGTACTGCATGGAAGGTCCGAAAGTTTGAAGGTAGGTGTGCAATTTAATATCACAACAGTTCCCAGAGGAAATATCTATGCTAGCCAGAAACTAGAGCGGTAAAAGGATAAAGGATAAAGATCTCGACGTTGATCAATCCCTGATAGATGCGCCATGCATTCGACTTTATTCGTTGGTGATTGAATGCATATCTGGCCTTTACAATCACTTGCAATGACCTAGCGCTGTATCGATCAAGTGCTGCTATCTTCCCAGACAAGTCTGGTACCAATTCGCCGAACTTGGTGAACCTGGAGCGAGGGATCGATCCCATGTGTATTGTAATGCGCCTCCGACCACTGCGCCACGAGCGTCCCTGGAGCAGTACCGTGACCAAGGTGGCAAGAAACAAGTTCAGTAACAACGATTACGTAAAATCATAGACATTGGATTGATACAGTTCCTTGGGTACTATTCACAACTGAAGAAAATTTAAAAGAAAACTTTAAACAATGTCATGGATTGCCGATAATTTCTTCGTGTTTTACTTACATTTTGCTACACCCTCAATATGCACTAAAGCGACGGCAACACTACGTTAAAAAAATATCGAAAATAGTTAATTTGAAGTTATGTTTAAGAAGAAGAAGAAAAAGAAAAAGAAACCTGATGATTTTTTTGCTTGGATCTGGTGGCATTGGAGGATAATCTACAGATACAAATACACCATAGTATAACTGAACAACAGAATCGCAGTAAATTCGACGAATATCAACAAAATCGCTGAAGAAAAGCGTACTGAGTAAAACTATGTACTCACATCGCAACAGTTTTTTTTTGAAACTACATGATCGAACACTCTGTAAAATTTTGCCCAAATCAATACCCACCGTGAGCCAATATATCCTTTCAAAGCAGGCAAGCTCCTTGAGTAATATAAATCGGTGACGGAATCCACATTTCCAATGACCTAAAGTTGAAAAACGTAACTCATAATACGACCGGCGTAAAATATGCGCACTCCTTACTTTTCCATCTAGAAGTTGCTTGTTCCATTGAACCACATCTCTCCATGTTGCGTTGAATAATTCCTGTGGTGAGCATGAGAACTCCGACCTTATATAGTATGAGGACTCTGGCGACTGTAATACCTAAACTGCTGAACGGAAATAAATGTTGCAAATTGGAATGTGTGTGATAACAAAACAATTCATGAAGTTCGGCACGATGCATCCAATCCTGTGCAAAACAACGATTCATGAAAGATCCCACCTATCGGAACGAATTTGCTCCTTACTACGGAAATTGTTTCGTAATAAAAGCTCCATGTCACAAATCCGTTACTACTGCCTCCCACTGGTCTACCGCCTCATCGTGGCTGGGAGGTGTTTCCGCGTGTCGGGTTGCGATGTACAGCGTGGGATTCATCCCACTGGCAGGGTCTTCAAGCTGAGAAGAATTCTGGCGCTTCCAACAGGAAGCCCAGCTAAGAGCAAATCAATGCCAGGATCCACCACTATCGTGATATCCTATGGTGGCAAATCTCCTTCTAATCCACAAGGGTGGCGACTGCGTGTAGTGGTGGCGATCTGGGGCAGACATTAGCCAAGCTGACCTGGGGAATCCAGGAAACCACAATGGCTAAACCAGCAAAACCCCCCCCCCCCAAAAAAAATGGAAATTATGCTGGAGCTCGCACAACCTGTGAAGACGGACCAGCCACGTATTGAAGTGTCCAAGTGATCCCTTACTTTGAAAAAAATACAATTTTCAACATAACGTAAGAACATAATATCATACGATAAGACGTACCAACGGATCACATGCTTTAATAACTTTCCACTCGCCCAGGCGTGCTTGACGTAGTTCCGATTCAACTTTTTCGGAAGCAGCACGTATTGCCTAAAAACACTGACCACTCGAAACGACATTCAGACTAAATGTTTTAATGAACATCATCAAAAGAAATATTCAATAAAGTAACTTGCCTTATCATATGATTCTCTTAAATCAACACTGATCAGGCCATTCTCTAGTGTTACAGGTCCGTGTCCATATCGGCGTCGGCCTTCATCCTCTACAAAATGTGGCTATTATTGTCTTTTCACAAGTATTCAAAAATCCAGATCAAGGAATGGAAAAATAGGAGAACTGACCAGAAGAAAACTCCACAGCGGTACGGAATTCATCGTCCGACATGTAACGCCTTGCAATACTATTACGTCTGTGTGGATCTCTCGAAGAGTTGTTACGCCCAGTAAACTCATCGTTTTGACTTCTTAGTAGTTCGCTATGCTCACCTGAAATGACCACAGAACATATTGGAAAGGCTAAAAGACAATTTCTAAAGAACTGGGCTCCAGTGTTCGAAAGTGCGTCATGAAACTCACATCGGCGTTCGCCTGGCAAAACTTTGAACGGCACTAACCACAGCTCGAACCATGCAATTGAAAATGAAGCTAACACCAGCAAATACTGCGGCAGACCGCCTTGTTTATGTGAAAAGAAGAACAGAATCTTAAAAAGTAGTTTAGTAACTCATTACCATAGCTGGGAAAATTAAAGAACATGAAATAGAAGAGTTTCTTCACAAACCTTTATCACTATGTATACAGTTGAGAGGGAAGTTGTGACAGCAACGGGTAGCCAATGTCCTACGACAAAAACCGCATAGAAAAGAATAAGGGCAACCTTAATTAAATAAAAAATGATTAATAAAGGAGGGGTACTTCAACCTCAAGAAAACGAACCATCCGTAGAATTGCACAAAGAACTATGTCAAATAATGATATGCTCATAAAATGTGCATCAAATATATTGATCTCTTGAAGGAAGACCTTACGCCAGTCATCTCCTTTAGTTACCTGAAAATAGTTGTAGATAATGAATCTTAACACCTCGGAAAGTACACAGCTCACCGTACAAAGAAGCCAAAGCAGCGTAGTCAATGTAGCATCAAATATAGAAATAATTATAAAGCGACGTCGATCTTTACTAAGACTCGGTAACTCCGCGCCAAGCAACGGAGCTCGTCCACTCATTGTTGTGAGAATACCTCGCTTTCGTCCAGATACATCTTTTCCACTGAAATCGAATGCTAAAAGCATAGGGTAAAACCATGGAAAAAATATACATGTGTATATGCACATATATACATATTTACACATGTATACACTTGTACATGTATATGTGTATATACATGTATATATATATATACAATGCTGCGCAATTTCAACATTGAGACAAGGTGCAATGAAACAGTTTAAAGTGTTAAAGCATAAAAGGATATAGTTCTCGGCGTTGATTCATCCCTGAGAGATGCGCCATGCATTTGACTTAGGCATCATTGGAGGTGACTGAATGCATATCTGGCCTTTAAAATGACCCGTGGTGAGCTACCGATCAATCGAGCAAATGCTGCTATCCTTCGAGACAAGTTTGGTACCAATTTACTTTCCCCGGAGGGATGGAGAGCTTGGTGGGCCTGGGGCGCGAGATCCATCCCATGTGTATTGCAGGATGCCTCCGCCCATTGCGCCACACGCGCCTCTATTTACAGCATATTCAATAGCTTCCCAAAATTTGAAGCTTGTAAGTTTATATGCAACTCAATGATTTGACCTATAAGTAAATAAATCGTCTTGTATTCTGTGACCCCGAGCTGCGATAGGTGAGGGGAACCTACACGTACATTGTTCAACACAAAATTCGCTCGAAATGGATTACGAGATTGCTTGGTCTCAAAGCTCATAGCCACGTTATCTTTAATAGAAAACTCAAAGCCAGCTCAAAAACATAAACAACATTCTCTTGCTCATTGGCTCATAGATATTTGGATTTCCCATCACAGTGATGACTCGACTAGCTTGTAGACAACGACTAAGCGTGAAAGAACACTGATTTCTGAGCATCTAGCTCCCACTAGATTAAAGCTATTTGGTAAACGTTGGCTGCTAAATATGTGTCTCTTTGTAGACTTGACATCTAATATAACATCTTCACTTTAAATCGTGTAGCGCTTTCACAGAAACCAAACCAACAGACTACTACGATATGTGAAGAACGTCATAATCATTTGAACTAAGCAAAAGAACAAACGAGCGATTCCTACACGTTTCATATGAATAATTTTAAAATTAATAGGTGACGTATATCTCATTTCTATGGTCTATGTTCTCTCATCGAAACAAGAAATGTCGGTAGTCTTGGAAAACCTTGAAAAGGGGCAAATAGTTTAAGTTGACTGATGTGAAGAGAATAAATGTGATGTTGTCTCTCAGCTGATACAAGAAGCTACGTTGCTGACCAACTTTTACTCATCTACTTAAACGCAATGGTAGGATGCAAACATAGCACGTTTCCACTAGGAAACACATAGACAGGGCCTTCTGATACCTTAATTTCCAAACATTACATAAATACCAGACCTAAAACATGTAGAACTCGTCTGCGAACTGAAGAAGATCAAGATGTTCTCTCATGTCTCAAAAGCAGATCCGAAGAAAGAAACAGCGGGATAAGTGCGAAAGAGAAGATATAACTGCACGAAAGCACTGTTATCGCTGTTTCATCAACAATCAACAACGTGGAACGTTTCAAACATCTTGTGATGAAAACCTGTGTCATCACCTTCAGCATAACAGAATACTCTTAGGATAACTGAACTCTGACTTAGTATGGTACATAAGAAATCTGACAAAACCTATCCAAATAATCGAACGTTTGAAAAAGAAACAAAAAACTCTAGCGACAGTAACTGCTACGACCGACTTTCCATTAACCTCGGCATTGATCAAGTGATTTTCTTCGTATTTTTGTTGAGCAAACGCGAGGTGTTAAAAAAAGAATGATAACATCTAGCGACAGTACCAATTGACGACACTTAAACCCGACCCAACGATCATAGAAGAACACCTGTAGGGAAGAAGCATCTTCTTATTCTACACACTACTAAGAAAAAGTAACAAAGAAACCAACCTACAACTCACCTGTGCGTGAACCCAGTTTATAATTGCCTGAAGAAGTTTCAGAGGAACACCTTAGAACGCCCATTGACACTTAGGTATTCAGTGCTAAATCATTGTCTAGATAAACTAGAATGTGACATTGACCTCGACATCATTGAGAAATAAGTTTTCTACTCTTAGCGAAAACATATGACCTTGCTATACACCAATCATGTGACCTTGAATCGCACTTCTAAAGGCTTTGCTGGTTCAAAGCTTGGAAGTGTCGTCTTACAGCGGGAATAAGTAGTGTTCAATAACCAAATGTCGGGTTATGAAAAATATGATCGTAAAGTAAAACTCTTAGGAGAGGGTTACTAATCTTCCCAGAATGAAATCTGGATTGCTCAAGCTGAACAATCTCTTTCAAAGAAAATGTAAGGTTTAACTTTTGAAACGATAAGCTCCGTACTCATGAAAATCAAAATTATATGGCTACAGGAATCCACCTGAAGACTACTGATAAACTATTTCGGTTTTCGAATTTGAATGGATGAACGGAAAGGTTAGCAAAGACGACTATACAAACGATGAAATGATGAAAGCCTTTCCTTTCATTACTGTCTGTCATACAAAGTCCATTGGAATGTGTCATTCCTTCACATCAGTCAACCTATAAGATCATTTATTCTAATTACTTTAACTTTTTTCGCAGTTACAGACTATGAGGATCTTAGGAAAATCGACTTTTCAATGAAACTTCAAGTGCTTCCTTTTGGGATTCATCTAACCATCACTTAGTTACTAGTCGACAACACGACCAAGATGACGATTGCTTCGAAAGCAATTAGTTGAGGTTCCGGTTCAGTGGCTTGGAAGAGAAACATTTCTTTCGGTGATATCACCTACGGCAGTACTACATCGTTCAACTGGTTATCTCGCGTTAAAAACTAACGACATTGTCTGCCCTGTAAAGGACTAGTTAGCTCAGAAATAGACCATATTTTCAGCCAAACCTAGTGAAGAACTCTGAATAGGATCAATTGTGCCCATAGATCGAAAACAGGCAAAAATGGGAAAGAGGCACCATTAAATAGTAATATTAGCTAAAAGGTTGCCTGAACCAGTACTATAGCTAAATTTACAATCCTATAGTATTGAAGATAACTGGAAAGAAAAAGTCACAACAAACCCTTCAGGGCTACAGTTTTTCTAAAGAACATTGCAATAAAAGAAAGTTCCTGGTTCGTTGAAGGAAACGAGAGGAAGTAAAGGACGCAATGCCACCAACCACGTGTTTACTTAGACCGAAGCACTATGCAGTCGGCACTCGTATGTGAAGAATGGTGTCATACACGAAAAGAATTCGTATTTAGTAGTCTTTCTCTAAAGAACGTTAGCTCAGTCAGTTACCTTCATACACTTGTATGCTACTAGTCAACGCCTCTTCCCTTTGTTAGTCGTTCTTACCAAACAAAAAAGGCAAATAATGTAACTATAATGATCCCGTTGAATGAGCATCCACATGGCACCTGCATGGCACATGCAAAGCTCAATAATTGCAATACGAATTTATTTTTTAGAAGGCACTAACTTAATGACTAACATATACATTGTACAAATAGAGTTTAAGCTCTAAAAGGATAAAGCTCTAGACATTGCCCAATCCCTGTGAGATCCGCCATGCACTCGTCTACATTAAGCATCGATGGAGGTGATTAAATTGATTGAATGCATATCAGGCCTTAGCAATGACTCGTGGTAGCCTACTGATATATCGAGCCAGTGTTGCTATTCTCCCAAACAAGTCAGGCACTAATTTGTTGATCCCGGAGGGATAGACAGTTTGGTGAGCTCGAGGGGCGGTGATCGATCCCATGTGTATGGTGCCTCCGACCACTGCGCTACAAGCGCTTTACATATAGATTTAACGTAAACAAACGACACATAGATGGAGCGAAAATTAAAAATGTATAAAAATCTGTTGGAGAAATCACCTCATTGAAAATAGAAATTGAACGTACGTGGCCGAACGAGGAAATGTTGAGTAGGTATTGATTGTTGACGCTATACTTGCCCCAAACAGGCCAGAATATCGTATGGAGAAAGGTAGTCGCTTATCAGGCGAGAGCTACGGACACTGAGCAAACGCCGACCATCTGTTTGTCCAGGCTAAAGAAGAACTCGTAGATTTGAGGCATTTTTTGAAGAGTTCTGATCAGAATAGTGAAGGTTTTGCTCAAATATTCGGAAGCAACAGTGAAGACTGTATTGAGTGACCAGAAACGTCTTCGGTTAAAGCGAAATTACAAACTCGGTAACCCAGGCGGATAGTTGGACATCGATAGAAACGAGGACCTCTTGGGGTCTCGTTCTCAAAAAGAAAAGGAAGGAAGGAACAAACAACTTCCAGTGGTTTTCCTTAACGTACTGTTCTTCTTTGCTCTCATACTCATCTAATCGAACACATTAACTACACTTTTGAACTCTACAAGCTCCTTTTAGTAACCAGTCTTAGGTTGAAGGAAGGTTGTCAGCTGGGTTGGTTTAAGGCCATAAGGTTGTCACCTGAGTAGAATTAAGGATATAAGGTTATCAGCTGAGTAAGGCTAAGGTTATAAGGTTATCAGTTGAGTAGACTTGAGTTATGGATGCTGTTATTGCTAAATCAAGTTCTAATGTGATCAATGAGAAGTAGTACTTTCCAAGAGCTTACTGTAGCTGTTGTTTGTCAAAAGAAGAAGGGAAAAAAAGAAACCCGTAGATTTAATAAAACCTTAACTATCACGAGATTGGAACCGACATTCTCTTTCGCTGAGATAAAACTTAGGATTAGCCATTTTCGTAGAAAACGTTGGAAAAAAATATGGCGGACTATGCCCAGAGAACAAACCCCGAACAATCAAGAAAGAATCTCCCAATGAGACTTGATCTCATCGATTGGCTTTATTAAAGTTCATTCAAAACTCGAAAGAATTTAGTGAATAGTAGCATACCTGGTTAAGAACTGTTACCGGAAGTTAGACGGAGTTCGTCTAATTATGTTGGAACTGAGGAACTACGAACGATACGGTGGCACGCGGGTGAACTTCTGATGGCTCAAACGGTTCTCTTATACCTGTAATCAAATAATCTATAATAGCAATCTAGATCGTATTTGGAAAGCTGATCCAGCCCTTTTGAGATCCTTCATGCCATTCCCGCAGAATTAACTAGAACTGAAAATATCGCCTCAGCTTCTCAGATCTCTCCAAGATTGACCTGATCCCGGTTACCTACCGAATGAGCCAAATAGATACTCTAGGCCCAAGTCATCCACTATTTGTTAAAACTGGGCTCTTACTGATCCCTCTGATGAAACGCTAATCCACTTGAGAGAAAGGATAAGATGTTAACGTCAGACAACAGCTCTGGAACAGTCCTTGTGCAGATCGATCGAGTGCTGGAGTTCGGCTTTGTTCATGCTATCCTGATAGAACATGATCGCTAGGATTCCTCCACAACGAAATCGACATGTTCAAATGTCAAGATGTTCTGCACAGGCAAGCATTTCCATGTCCACTTCAGGTGTTCGTCAACGGGTCAGCCACCCGTCGTCTCAGACAGCGTCGTCGGCTGGAAGTGAGCGGTTGCTGGTCCTTTTCATGTACGCGTCACCGTCAGGTGCGATATTATTTAGTTATTATTTTAGTACATTTGGTACTTCCTTCTTACACTTGTAGCTGCATTGGTGGTTATTTAATACGAAATCAGACCAGGTATTCCATAGAAAGCGGCTCTTGATGTGTTTTGTCAATCATATAGTCGAAGTGGTACTTAATGATGTGGTTTCATAAGTATTCATTATCATGCGTTGTTCATAACGAGTATAGTGTGAGGGTGGGTTATGAATGTCTCTTCACTTTGACAGGATTCCTCTCTTCAGAGTGTTTCGTCATTACTTTAGTGCAAAAACATATCTGAGAAAGTAACTATAAGGACTTTAAAGGGCCGACTTTCTATAAACCATGATGAAATCCTGATTTTATGACCCAGAAACAATATCCTTCCTTTGCTTCTATCGTATTTCGAACACGAGATCGATTGAGGAAATGGGATTTTCTTTACCAGAATGCGATGGTGTCCTATCGATGTTTGTGGCTGCAAAACGTCTTGCTATAGGGATCTTTAAAATTCAAACCAACTGTTTAGTTTTTCTGAAATTTTAGTTCCAAACAGTAAAAGTACTCTAGTGGTTGAAGAATTAGGGACTGTAAGTGTTAAAGATCGTTCTGCGCACTGGCGACTTTTTCGTGTTTTGGAGTAAGGATCTTTTTAACTTGTTCTAACGTCTGCGTTCTTTTGGTTGAGAAGACTTGAGAAGTTCTTCTGAATTGATCTTGTTGAGTCCACGCGAGGTTAGTATACGTTGTTGCTTTTGTTGGTCGCTGGCTGACGTTCTGGCGATTTTGCCTTGCTCAGAGCCGTGTTGTTACGAGTAGGACTCAAGGTTTATAGAAAGTCGGTCTTTCGAGTTATTAAGAGATCTACTAGCAAAACGTTTTTGGTCGACCAACAATAACAACGACAACCATTCCAACCTCGCATCACCTCAACAAGATCGGTTTATAAACGTATAAGTACATATAAGGATTCTAGCCTGGCTGCATTTCTGTGGAAATCCTATTGATCGAATCGTTTTCCACGATGTATTCTGGAAATCCTCTTACACAGAATCGTTCAGAATCCACTGCGCTTTCAAGCTCCGAGCCACGAGTAAATCAGGTTTATACATTTTTCGATGCCTCTGAGCATTTCATCGAGTTCTTTTCAGGTACATTTTTTTATTGAATGGACAATTTTCTCCATTTCCTCCCAGTTTATTTCGCATTTTTCTTACTTGTTATAGCCACTGTGAAGTGAATATACCTTTTACTTGGTACATTTCATAGAAGGTAAGATGAATTCCCATGGACAAACATTGTCAGGTTTAACAAATGTTGAAGTTTTAACAAGGCAGCTCAATGCTACCATGTTGTTCTACGTGAATGGTACAAGGCTTAAGGTCCGAGCGCTTTAAACCGTCCTCATCTTCAAGTTTCACCCAAATAACGTTTATATTATTTTGCTTGTTCTTAAAAATCATATTAAATGAGACTTTGCTGGAAATGGAGACAAAGTTGGGCCTCAGAGGTCATGGTGCTTGTTAGCATCGTTTGTTGTTACTGTTGGGTGAAATTATTGGGTTAACCTGAGGTTTCTTTGTTACAGCATAATTTGGAGTATTTGGGCGGTTGTCAGCTACATAGCCTCACCTGTACCACCCACGATGTTGTCAATAGTCGAGCAACTCAAGTAACACCTCCGGATTTGAGTTATCACTTATAGCGCCCAAAAGTCATGCAAGGGACACGATGATCATCACACCTTTGTTGTGATACCTTTTTCTAATCTTTTCAATGAGGCTAACTGTCGGAAGCTTTCCGTTCTCTGCTCACTCCTATTTGGGATCGTGGATAAAGATGTCGAACTCCGTGTCAACATGGGGACGCGTGTAGCGCAGTGGTCGGAGGCGCCCTGCAATACATATGGGAACGACTCCCGCGCTCGTGGCTCAACATGCCCTCCATCTCCCTGGAGTCGGCAAACTGATGCCAGACTTGCCTGGGAGGATAGCAGCACTGGCTCGATACATCGGCAGGCCGCGGGTAGGCATTGTAAAGGCCTAATATGCATGTAGTCTCCTCTAACAATGCTTAGTGAAGTCGAATGCATGGCGCATCCCTCAGGTATTGATCTACGCCGAGAGCTGTATTCCTCTTTTATCAACATAAAAGACCTTACATGAAATGAACACCTGCGGTATATGATCGCTTGACTTTAAGCAATAATCCCTTATACGATGAATCGTTAAACCATTGGAGATTGTCAAGTACAAACTCTGGTAAGTGCCAACCATGGTAGTTTCTTAATGACTCCTCTATCCTTCTCTTAGGTTGACAACTTTTAGAACTCGGTAGGTGATCAGGTAGTTGTTTTCTTTCTCCGGTCCGCTATTATCTTTTAGGACGTACTGGTATGCATGAGATACTGTTACATGAAGACATGTCAAATGTTGACATTATGTTGCAACCGCATGGAATTGCAATCGCCCATTCTGCCGATCTTCCAGTGAAGCCCATCGAGGTGTCATTATGGAAATTCTTCTATGATATGGAATTCACCAGGTATTTTATGGCTATCCAAAGATGGTTATATGTTCTGCTTATGTTGTTTAAAGGTGTCTGCGACTTTCTGTTCTAAATTCTCGTTGTCCTGCTTCACAACCATTGTTCCTAAATCCTGCTCAGTATGCGTTGCTTCAAGAAATGAAGTTAGCTGTTATTCGTGGCTTAGGACTTACTGAGATTTTTGTGAGCACTTTTCTTTCTGTTTTATTCTCCAGTTTTATTTGCCAGATTTTGTTTGTTGACATATCTGGAGGACGGGCCATCCAAGTATCGAAGTAAGTTATGAGCAAATTGTAATCCATGGATCCTTTTGGTGCATGAAATTTCTAAAGGTTTCACTCAGCAATTCTTATGTGACTAGGATATGCCCTACCTGCTTTTAGATTTTGTTTGTATTTTAAAACTAGCTATTCTCGATGAAGGTGCAAGCACAAATACGTATAGTAATACTTCCTGTTCTTGATTACTGTACTATTTTAAATACAACCAAGTTCATCACTATGTTATCATTACTTGAGTTGTATTCAGATGGAGGAAAACGGACGCGCTTGTCTGTATGGCTCAGTAGAAAGCGTTCTCGAAGCACGCGCGACAATTAAGCAGATGTTCGATGAGCATGGTCTCGGTGATCCAGAAGTCATACCAGCGTCAGCACCCTTGTTAGATCGAGGTCGATCCAAGTAAAGACATGCTTTCTGTTAAACTATTCTTCAAATACAGCTTCACCTTCACTAGGTTCAATGCCGTTTTGTGCTTCCCAGATCAATCCCGTTGACGAGTGATCGCTGATTAAAATGGTAAATATAAAACTGAGAGGAAGGTGAAACGAAGGGCTGTCGTGGTGTGGTGGTGAACACATTAGCCCCAGGAAAGTGTAATAACGTAGTTCGATCCCCTCCGCAGACACCTGCGGTCCGGAGTTTTGCAAATATCTCGGCATAATTGTAATTGTATTATTCAAATATGTCGTGTAAAAAGAGCAATGTTTAGACAGTAACTCTATGTCGAATCTAGAGGGCACCTCCGGTTCTTTCGAGAAGAAAGTTGTTGATGACTGCCGAGTGATTTTTTTTTCTTAATTCCTACTCAATTGGAAGCTGAGATTGTTATATACTAGTTTAGCAGATTCTTAACATGTCTCAGCAGCGTCAGCTCATGAGAGATCCTGATCTAAATGGTTTGGGGAATAGCCATCCTCAATCTTCGACGGTTAGTAATAGTCTCTTTCTTCGAATTTTTTAGAAAAATATTACCGAGCTACTCCAGAGTGGAAGACAGCGTTCTCTTATCCAGTCGTGTTCGTTGAACTCGATGGCGAATGAATTACTTCGTACTTCATCTAAGTCCGAATTTTTGCCTCTGGAACCAGAACAATGTGCTACGCAGCTCGCTAGCATCAGATTTTTTGTGAATATATCAGATGCACCACGATTGATAGGGACACGCGGTGCCACCAAAAGGCGCATCGAACATGTTACTGGATGCACAATCCTCGTTAGTTCTACATTTTGTTGATTTCATCGTTTTTATACTTTACATTAGTATTGCCGCCATGTTTGAGTTCTCCACCCACTACGCCTCTATTTTTATACTTCATACTAATCTCTGGAGAGAACATCTTAGAAAGTTAATCAGAGATGCCTTCTAAAAAAGTAATCTCCGTTATTTTAATTTGGGTGAGTCGAATTTAGGGTTTGCAGACAACGAACTGCGTAGATTGTTCTAGGGCGTATGTAGCGCAGTGGTCGGAGGTGCCCTGTGATACATATGGGATCAATCACCGCGCATACGGCTCACCAAGCCTTCCATCCCTCCGGGGTTGGTAAATTGGTACCATACTTGTCTGGGAGAATAGTAGAACTGCCATTTGCATCTGTAGGCCACCACGAGTTATTGTAAAGGTTAAGTATGCATTCAATCACCTCCAACGATGCTTACTGAAGTCTCTCATGGCATCTCTTAGGGGTTTGATCAACGTCGAGAGCTTTATCTTCCTTCTATCCTTTAAATCGTGTTTTCTTCCCTTTTTCCTCAAAAAATATACCTTGGACATTGAAGTAGTTAATAGGTAGTAGTAGAGTAGCAATACACAGCCGTTTGTACATAACTCGAAAGACCGACTTTCTATAAACCTCGGCATAGATAGTTGATATATTTATTTATGTGATCTTATAAACTGATCTTCTTAAGCTGACACGAGGTTGGTGCAGACCTTCGTTGTCGTTGTCGTTGTTTTTGATGTTATTGATCGATGGGTGACGTTTCGGCGACTTCGCCTTCCTCAGAGCCTGGACGTATTTTATATTGGAATATTTTTATTATTCGGTGGAAAAAAAGGTTAAAGTGTTAATGAAGATCAAACTTTCAAATAGACGCCATATAGATCAGAAAGGCCACTCACCGTGATGTTATGTGCGGGACTGGCCCACGCATTGTTTTCGTGGAGTCACGAGCGAGATACACCCCGGGGTCAAAATATCATTTTGAAATAGGGCGCCACGTCACGCGTGATAGTGAGGCATTCGTCTTTCCGGTTCATCCTTGGATTTTTGAAATTTATCCAAAACGCCTCAAGAGTTTTGCGCGTTGATGTTTTTGATTCCTGCGCTAGGATCCGCACATTCACTTCAGTATTATACCTAAACTCATGCAATCTCCGTCTCTCCCGTTAGACAGATCATACAGTTTTCTGAGCTGCACAAACGATCATAGCGACGGTGAGGAAGGCGACGTCGCTGAAACGTCAGCCATCGATCAGTAACATCAATAACATCGAAAACAACGACAACGACAACGAAGATCTGTACCAACCTCGCGTTTGTACATAGTTCAGTTCTATTTAGCTACACACTGACAAGAGAGAAAACAGCGAGTTTCCGGTCGAGGTGTTTTCCACATCAGCAAAGCAATGCGAAATCGCTCGTCGCCACATTTTAGGATTTCTTGCAAGCGCTCACTCACCTGCCGACCGTTCGATCGGCTCTCCATCGAAGATCAAGGAGGTTATTTCTATTGGATTAGTAGTACATTCTGCTTCTACGTGGTGTTCAAGTTATTCCTTGAAATATCTTTTGGAGAATTTTTAGGTTTCTGCCCGTCCGAAAATACATCTGGACATTAGCCCAAAGAAGTTGCGTACGAAACAAACTGATTAAATATCAGCACTGTTAGGTTTACGTCTCTATCTCCTTTCGCGTATAGTTTTTCCAAGGTTGTTTATTTAACTTATAATGCTGTACTACTCTTTAGCTTCATTCCCAAATCCATTTAATAGTGTTATGATTTGTCTTTGCAGTGACCACAGAATTGTTTTTGTTGTTGTTGTTGTTGTTGTTATGTGGTAACTATATGTGTAATCTTCCTCATCGCAGTTTACGAAGCCCTCTTGTACTTGCAGTGTTGTTCTGCGAGCTAAGCTAGTATGAGTTTTTTATCTCAAGGAGTTCTGTGTTATAAACTAGATGATTCAATGTATCTGTTAGTGCTTCCTGTCCATGATCACACCATCTATTTGGAAATACATCGTCTTTGTTCCTTTCAAAAAATGCCTACTGCGATGATTTTGTGGTAACTGGATAGCGCTTTATGTAGCATGAGTAAATTTTAAGTAATTCGTGAAGACGAAGATTTGTCAACTGTAGTAATTTTCACAATTTCAACTAATTATTTACTGCGTACTCTTTTTAACGGCAAGGTATATTGCGAAATATAACTTCAATAATGCTGAGATATTTGCAAAACTCCGGACCGCACGTGTCCGCGGTGAGGAACGAGCACGCAATTGTCCTTTACGGGGAGTAGCACGTTGACCACCAGACCATGCGGGTCCTTCGTTTCGCCTGTATCTCAGCTAGGTCTATCGATCTTTGCCATCAGCAATCAACCATCAAGCGGTCCGGAGTTCTGCAAGTACATCAGTATCATTGAAGTTATATTTCGCAATTTACCCTGCCGTTAAAAAGAGTAGGCAGTGAATAATTAGTTAAAATTGTGATTATAACTGCAGCCTCAGCTTAACTGGGTTGATTGCCGATTTCGGCTCCCCAGGTCAATCCCACTGACGGGTGATTGCTGATGGCAGAGATCGATAGAATTAGCCGAGAGACAGGCAAAACAAAGACCTGTATGGTGTGGTGGTGAACGCGTTAGCCCCCGTAAAAGACAATAGCGCGTTCGTTCCTCACCGCAGACATCTGCGGTCCGCAGTTTTGCAAATATCTCAGCAACATTGAAGTAGTAGTTTTCTTTTTCCAAGTCGCAAATTCTGTTCATATTGGTATCTCAGAGGCGCATGCGGAACGGTGGTCGAAGGCGCCCTGCAACACACGCACACGGGATCGATCCCCATGCTCCTGGCTCACCAGGCGTTTCATCTCCACGGGGTCGGCAAATCGTTACCAGACCTTATGGGAGGACAGTAGGCTGAATGCATCGGTCGGCAACCGCGAGTCATTGTAAAAGCCTTCCTATGCATTCAATCACTTCCAATGATGCTTAATGCAGTTGGATGCACGGCGCGGCGCATCCCTCAGGGACTAACCAACGGCGAGAGCCTTATACTTTTACTTTATTCGCATTCTACTTTTTCCAGTGCTTTTCATCGTCATATCAATGTTTGGGAGCGAGCGCAGTGAAAATGAGACCGTTCGTTACGCGGATTTCACAACTCGCCCAGATGCATGGTTCGACGCGGCATTGGTTCCACTAAATCATTTATGCAACCGGGGCTGGGAAATTGGCAGCGTTCCCCGACGTTTCTAACAGGATAAAAGTTTTCTTGTTATGTTACAATGAAATTCTGATTTTTTGGAGTCTATGGCGTATACTTCTTCCAATTTATTGCTTCGAACTTCATAATGCGGACACGAAAGGAAATGAACAAGAGGATTCCCATGCTGTTGAACCTGTTCGCTGAAGATGATCGTGTTCGCCAAAGGTTTTTTGTAGCTCCCAGTGTTCTGTTATAGGAATTTGAAAAACTTAGGTTTCGTTACCTAACGTACTATCCATTTACGCCATCCCAAAGTCACTGAGTCCTTCGGTGGTGGGATCTGGTCGGTATGAAGGTTTGGAAATATTGGCAAACCCGTTAGCACTTTCTTTAGAGTCTTGGTTCTAAATATATTTATGACCTCCGACACTTTGTTTTCGTAATTGTAGTTGGAGGTCTTTGGTGTTCCGTATGTTAGCGTGTGTAAGGAGATTGTGTAGTACACAACCTCTAGGTAGAGAAGGATGTACTGAAACAATTACAGCGAGCTTATAAGTGTTGGAGTAGTTTGCTGCCATCCCTTCTTACTGGAGAACTCCCGAGTACTCAAATAATATCAACGTTCGTCAGTTATGTCACGACTGTTGACTCCCGGGTCCAACTTCATGACTGCAAATTGCCTTATGGGCACCAGGTTATGCTCTCATTTCAAGGGACGCTTCGGAAATAAACCACGATCCAGTCGTAAGCAAGTTCCACATTTGCTCCCAGGCTATCCAGCAGGTGAGTAGCTTATTTCTTGTCTTTCTCAGCTACGGCCCGGAGGCTGACGCGTTCACCACCACACCATGCGACTCTTTCGTTTCGCCTTTCTCTCAGCCATGTTTTATAGGTGGTATCAGCAATCACCCGTTGACGGGATTGATCTGGAGTGATTACTGATAGCACCTTTAAAACATGGCTAAGGTAAAGGCCAGAGAAAGGACCCGTATTGCGTGGCGGTGAACGTGTTAGCCACGGAAAGGTTTGATCCCCACCGCAGACACATGTGGTCCCGAGTTTTGCAAAGATGTGCATCATTGTGGTTGTATTTCGCATCATACCCTGCTATGAAAAGGGAATAAGCCGTAAAGAAAAGGTGATTACATCGTTCTTCAATTGTTTACACTTTGTTGTTTGGAAGTTTGAACATGGCCATTGTGTTAAAGTACTAAAACCTTGGAATCTATTTTCTTTTTTTTAAGGGAACTCTAATATTAGTGATTTTCTTGCGAATCAGAAACATGATAGTGATTGTGTCGCAGTACTGAAAGTTGTGTAAGTCTTCATGGTTTTTTCATTCAGTACTATTTTTTGTGTCGATCTTCTTTGTATTATTTCAAATGGATTTCCTGTTAGACAGCGCTTTCGGAAACAACCGAACGAATGGCCAATCGAAGAGCAACCGTTCGGCATCATAGAACGAAACTTTGTCGGAAAGATGATGCATCCGGTGAGGTATATTCTCATTTGTCTCCTTTTATTCCTCTTTTTTTGTCTTTGCAACGCTAGTAGCACTGCATAGAGTTTGCATATTTTCAGATAGAGTTGAGGCCTGAAAGAGGTTTTGTCAATATGGTTCCGTTTGGACTTATGATGTTGCGACACTTCTTTAGGAAAGTTTGGGTAACTTCAAATTACCTTTTTCACATTACTATTGGTGAAAAGTCAATGATATATCAAACAAAAGACTGCAGGCTAAAGGTAACTACGAACTATTTAAATCGACTGGGATTTTCAATGAAGAAGAAGTATGCGCTGGGACGAAGAGAGTGTTCGAAATTATTAGCCAGCATGCACTAAAGGTTAGCTTTTGTTCTTTCGCAAGAGCTTCCTTGCTGTACACCATGTGACATTCTCCGGAGATTTCTCTTTTCATTGTGTCTTAGAACAGGATGGCAGAGTTGGTTACTCGAAACTTCTGTAGTACTGACGCTGCACGGCGTTTCGATGTGGCAAGTAATAGCATGAGTGCTCGTCAACGAGGGTTACTGAATCTCACAGAACATGACGTTTTTGCCATAGCACCCGGAGTTCTTGGTACTTTAGTCTTCGGATCTTTTTTTCAAGTATTTGAATTGTACAATAATGTTGCGAAAACAATTTTTTCGCACCATCATTTCCTCCCAAAAGTTTACAGCCTTATCGTGGCTGCGAAGTGTTCCAGGGTGTCGGGCTGCGATATAGAGCGGGCGGGAGTATTCATCCCCACCCCCAGCCAGCGGGGTCTTCCATGCTGAGAAGGAGTTCGAAGTTTTCATCGGGAAGCCCAGCTAAGAGTAAAACAGTACCATGGATTACCGCAGTCCTTGTATCAAAGTAGTCGCACGGCAAAAAATCTCACTCTGATCCACAAGGCGACCATTGCTTGTTCTAGTGACGATCTGGAGCAGAATTTGGCCAGGCTGATCTTGGGACTTAGGGCCTGCTATCCAAAATGTTCAAGTGTCTAAGTATCATTGTATTTATTTCATGCTCTTGGATCTATTGTCTTCCCATTTTCAGGTCCGTACCAGTTGATTCGTTCAATTTTGCGAGGAAGACAACCATTTATCACATACAGTTTGTTATGCTGTGCGTTTTACAAGAAGCAAATGCTGTTTGATGCGGTTTGTTAATCACGAATTAAATTTGAGATTGGTTCAAGTTTCATAATCACAACTCCGTTTATTCTTAGGTACGCGAATTACCACTAGTTGACAGTGGAGAAGAAGCTCAGTTCATAGCAATACCTGATAATTATGGCTATGCGGCACCTCGATTAATTTTCGCCTTTATTACGTTTGGAAACAAAATTCTTGGCAAGTTTGAGGTAGACGGCGATATTGAAGTGCTTGGATTTCAGTATCTGGTTATCTAACTCTGGTTTGAGATTCATGCCGTTCTTCCTTTTTGAGAGGTTTGTTCCTTGATTTGTGATTCTTGTTGATCGTATCGTATAGTGCGATGTACTTCCTCTTTTTTTCAGTTGTTTCGTAAGTACTATATTTATTAATGTTTATTCCATGAATTTTTGACTTATATTACTTCACTCATATGAATTAGTATTACTGAGGCGTTTTTACACAGTTGGACCTTGTACATTGAATTCGTTCTCTCTTTCATCGTGCTTTTGAATGACCGATAAATGGACATTCTTCTAGTTCCATTCTGGGAAATAAAATGATATCCCTGCCAATGCTTGTGCTCCTGTTTCGGCGTGGTACATGCTACAAATATTTTTGAAGATAGTTAATAGCATCGGAGTGTTAATGGTTGGTATTTGAAACAGAAAATCAGTCCCTATAACATTTATTATCATTTTAGGCACTGATATGGTGTGCATTACAGTCCGGTATATAAGGTTGCTTGATCATATCACAAGAGAGAGGATCCATTACAAGTGTACGTAACTGAATTTTGTCTTTTCTGACTTTTCTTGTTTTTCTACCTTAGTGGCATTTTTCCCCATATTTATTGTACTAAAGGATCTTTCTCATCGTGTAAAATTGTGTGGTGTTCTAACGGGATTGGAGCAGCTTGTAATAATGACGTAAAAGGAGGGGTTCGGCAGGGCGATACCATCTCACTAAAATTGTATACTGCAACACAGCGCTTCTGGAAAGTTTGGTTTTGGACTAAATTTTTCGAAAACCACGTTCACAAGGGACGACTTTGCTCCTCATGCACTATTCACGGACAACCTAGTGAATATCTCCGAATGCTCTAGCAACGTACGTATAGGTTGGGAAGTGAACGTGATGAATGACTTAGCTCCAGAGTTGAGAAGGAGGAAACGAGCGGTTCGGGGAGCTTTCAAGATAATAGGGGATGTAGTGAAGAGAACAAAGAACACCCGACTTCATGCCCACGTCTTCGACTCCATGATTCCTTCTGCCTTAACGTATGCGTCAGAAACCTGGTCGCTGCGTTAGCAGGATGAAAAATCACTCAGCGTTATTGAACGTGCAGTCGAAAGGACAAGACTAAGAGTTTCCAGGATCGACTTTCTATTGACCTCGGCATTGGATTATAAACTCGTCGTTTTCTGTCTCACCAATCGCGATGTCGTTAAACAGCATACTTTTACTTCCATACAATAACATGTATACAACACAATCGTAGCTGGCGTTTCGGCAGTATCGCTTTCTTCAGAACCTGGAAGGGTACACTAATGCGCAACTTACTAGGTCAAGTGCTTCAACAACATAAACAGAAGGATGAAAATCTGAACGATAACTGCAAGGTTTTACCTTTTATTTTCTGCCTACTACAATTTTCACGGCAGGGTACTAAGCGAAATACAACCACAACGTTGCTGAGATATTTGCAAAACTCCGAGCCGCAGGTGTCTAGGGTGGGGAACGAACGCGCTGTTGTACTTTACGGGGAGTAAAGCGTTCACCACCACACCATGCGGGTCCTTCGTTTCGCCTGTCTCTCAGCTAGTTCTCTCGATCAGCGCTATCAGCGATCACCCGTCAAAATAGAAGGTGAAATATTGTGATTTCAACTACTGCCTCAGCTTAACTGGGTTCAATGCCGATGTGGGCTCCCCAGATCAATCCCGTTGACGGGTGATTGCTGATGGCACAGATCGATAGAACTAGTTGACAGACAGGCGAAACGAAGGGCCCGCATGGTGTTTTGGTGAACGCGTTATTCCCCGGAAAGGACATTAGCGCGTTCGTTCTCCACCAAAGACACCTGCGGTCCAGAGTTTTGTAAATATCTCAGCAACGTTGTGATAATTACAAGATCAACGGCTTCTCGAAAAACCCACTGCTTTTTTCACCTATCTTCCACCGCGGAAGAAGAGCCGCACAGAGTCACATACATGGTTGACGACTGCACCTCCACACAACGATCGATGCGAAGGTACGGAACGAGATTACGGGTGATCTCGGGGCATTCCTCCTTGCTGTTCATTGTAGAGTTTTTAGTATTTATCCAAAAAGCCTTAAGAAGCTTGTGCACTGGTGTTTTGGCATCCTGTGCGAGTACAGTGACTTTTATATCAAGATCGTCTCCGCAATGCTTTTGTATCCTATGGTCCCTAGTGGGGTACTTTGTCTTGCTTTTCCTTTGCCATCTAGATATTCTTTTATGCGGTCGCATAAATTTCTGCCCGTTTTGCCAATATATTCGTCCTCGCAAGTACTGCAAGAGATCAGATATATCCTACCTGAACTCATGAAATCACCTTCCTTACTAGAAGGACAAATGACGCAGCAAAAGTTAACGTCCTCACACAGTATGCTAAAACACCAGCGCTCAAGACTTGAGGTTTTCTGGATGAATGCCAAAAGCGCTACAATTAACAGCAGGGAGATAACCCGTGATCATGCTCGTACCTCCGCATTGATCGTTAATGTGGGGAGGGTGCAATCGTCAACCATATGCGGTGCTGATCAGCGGCTCTTCCTCAGTGGAAGGTACCTGAAAATGGCGGGTTTTTCGAGAAGCTGTTGACCATGTGACTACTATTTAGATTCTCATTTTTCTCTATGTGTTACTGAAGTGTTTGACATAATAAATTGCATATCACTATACCCTGCTAGGCTCTGAAGAAGGCGATACTGCCGAAACATCAGTTACGATTGTATTGTACGTGTGTTATTGTAGTTTCGTGGTTTAATTACCCAGCTTTGAGATTTAACGTCTCTCCGAATCAACTAGTTGGAAGACCGAGCGAAGGATTCGTCGCCAAAAACACACCTCCCACCACTGATCCACATCGTTGTGAAGACCTGGGTACACTCTTGCAAGGTTAAATTAGGACTCCACGGAGGACGAAGTTGCACAATCAGCAATAGGCCAGCCTCAGTACCCCGCACACTGGGTGCTTCTGTCTATGATGTCAGGCGGTGAAACGACCGGTGAGAGGCCAAAAAATCTCGGTTTATGCAAGACGCAGGATTGGAACCGGATCTGACGAACACACGCACGACACACCATGGAGATTGTTTCTTACTATGCACGCAGATGCCAGAACACTCTCCACAGTCGCCGATCTTCACGTTCTTCTTGTAGTTGCAGATCGCATTAAATTTCATATGATCGCATTATAGGAAACAGAAATCAAGAAAACCGACATACGCCAACTAAACAACGGAACCCTTGTGATTCGTGGAGAAAAGGTGCCGTCACGAAATGTCGGCGGCGTAGGCTTTGTCGTACACCCTTCCACTGTCCATCTCGTCGACTCATAGGTAATCCTTTTCCCTTGAATAGCCGTCCTCCGTCTTCAACTATCGCATCATATAAAGATCACTATCATGAACTGCTACTTACTGACCGACGCAGCTGATGAGTACGAATTAAATGCGTTCTAGTATCAATTGGGGAAAGTCATCCACAATGATAAAGCTGATCATAAGTTTGTTGTTGGAGACTTCAACGCCAGAATAGGAAAGACCAACGAAAGCGAATACAGGATCGGAAATTTTCGATTAGGAAAAAGAAAAGAATGGGAACCGTCTCGCAGGACTCCTGTCAGCAGCATGTCTCTTTCATGGAAATTCATTTTCCAGAAGAAAGAAAGCCGCCGCTGGACATGGTCTCCCAACGGCATGAGTCGCGCCGAAATCGACCATATTCTGCCAAAGAGAAGATGGTGCGTACTTGACACATCGGTAGTCCTTCCCATCATTCTGTACTGGTTCCGATCACCGCCTTCTTGGCGCGAAGATTCGACTCAGCCGCAAGTTGGAAAAGAACTCTCTTCATCGATCACGAGGAGAAGTCTAGCTGTATACGACAGGAACATTCTAAACGAAGTCTATCCAAACGTGACTGGCTGACTAAAGAGGACTAGACCGAAGGCTACGAGCTGCTTGTCGAAGGATTGAAAAGCTGTGCGGAATTCCCCTTAGTTCCTTAAGCAAGAAGATCGGATCGCATCTCCATCACCACTAAGGAGGTGCCTCGAATAGGGAAGGAAACTGAAATCCTAATGCAACACGTTTAACATGGCTTGTAATAAATGCCAGAAGGTGCACAGCTCCAGGACCCGATAATATCACTGCCGATTTCCTTAGGGCTGGAGGCCGCAATTTACATATACTTCTCGCAGATCATATGACAGGGTACATTCAACAGGAAAAAATCTCAGACCAGTGGAGGAGGTCGTGCACGGTCATCCTGCCTAAAAAAGGAGACCGAAAGGATCTTCGTAACTATCGTCCCATGTGCTTGTTAAGTGTGCTCTACAAGCTCTTCACGAAGATTATCCTCACGTATATCAAGGACATTGGATGAGGCTTAACCAGTGGAGCAAACGGGATTTGGAAAAGGATTCTGCTGCATGGACCACATCCAAGCCGTTTCCAGGGTCATCGGAGTTCCCATATGAAAAGGGGTTCGACAGTGCAACACAATATGGCCGAAGCTGTTCAGTGCCGCACTGCAGTGGATAATGAAGTCACCCGGTTGGGATAAGAAAAGCATACGTATTGATGGAAAATTCATATAAAACCTTCGTTTTGCTGACGGCATTGTTATCTTCTCAAGAAGTACTAGCGAAGCAGAGATGTTGATCATGGAGCTCAACGAAGCGGGAAAAGATCGGACTTTGTATAAATCGAAGGAAGACCTAGTTCATGAAAACTCATGCTGCGAAGGCGAAAAGATTGAATTGGAAGGCTCTCTCATTGCGGAGACCACCTCGTTCGTTTACCTTAGGCGATCAATGAACATGCGAAATAACATGAAGGAGGATCTGGATAAAAGAAGGAGGGCAGTTTGGGCCGCATTCAGGCCTCTCAAAGAAGCTACCGACCAACTGAAGAACCCGAAAATCCGCGTTCATCTCTTCGATTCTACGGTGTTTCCAACGCTCTGTTATGTTGCAAAGACGTGGGTTGATACTTCATCCTCGTAAAGAATGCTTCGCTCTACTCACAGAGCGCTTGAGCGATGTCTCCTGAAATATAACCGGCACTCTGAATATCTAGCCGGAATGCGAGAGTATAACCTTCGAAATATGTCACATCTTCGAGATCCATGAGAATATACATCGATAGCGAAACATAGATGGGCCGGTCACAAAATGAGAAGAAGAGACGACAGGTGGACGAAAAGAACAGTAGAGTGGACTTCAAGAGAATGCAAACGTTCCCTAAGACGACCACCTACACGTTGGGTGGAAGTGTTCGTAAACAAAGTTAATCAGCTGTATCCGCAGCTGCAGTTGTTTTACATATCACGGTATGAGACTCGCAAGGACTACCATGCTCGAACAAGACCACCGCCATGGACTACTTTAGCAAGAGAAAGGAACGAATGGCGTATGTGCTGGGGTCCGCACAGCTCGTGAGGACGGATCGTCCAAGTATCCAAATAAGTAAGTGTATTATTGTATGGTAGTGAACATATGCTGTTTAACAACCTCGCGATTACTGAGACAGAAAACGACGAATACTAAGAGTATCTCGTGTCACACTTATAAGGGAAACTATCCGAAACTCCGACCTGCATCAACGACCAAAAATCAGAGATGCTGTTCTGTACGCCAAGCAGTCGAAGATCAGGTTTTCCGGACACGTAACGCGTATGAACGACAACCGATGGACAAAAGCCGTTAATGACTGGATTTCTCTGAATGTCAAACGTACTGCAGGAAGACCACCAACTCGATGGTCAGAGTTCTTTACGAAAATCCTAGAAGAAAGATATGATGCTCGACGAGTAGAGCAGAACCCACTGAGCTACTCTTGCACGCGATAGGGAATAATGGAAGGTGTATTGGCCTGTGCTGGGATCACGCGACGATCATCGGGTCGACGGGTGATCCAGATAATAGCGCTGTGCTTCCAGAGTATTAGGCTATTAGAGATCTACTTTTTAGGTGGAAATAACACTGCCTCCATCTATTGAATATTCGTTTTGTTGCATTCTACTAGTAAATTCCAGTTTTTACTGGTTATCGCTCTCCAGAATATCTTCACGAACATTATGAATATCATTCTTTGGTGCTGTATTCTATTTTTTTCTGGTGCGAAAATCGCCACAGCAAGTTCGCAGGATTGCCATGTCATACGTTTGTCATTAGCTGAGCTTTTGGATGGAGATGTTAACCTCTTCTTAGCTTGAGCGGTTTATATGCGGTGAACTCTCACAGTGTATCGCGACTTGTCGTCCACCTCCTCATCTGCGACAGGACGGCTAACTATTATGTGACGCTTTCACTAGCTGAACGGAATAAAAAAACATTAAAGGGATGACAGTTCGAAAATAGCTATGAGTGCTATGAAAACAGTCGTTTATTCCTATTTCTTACCGTTTCATATTCTTGGATATAAATAAAGGTACCTGTGTAGTTTTGAATAATTTCTTGATTGACACTGTTAAGGTTGTAGACAAGGATCCACATCAAACTCGGGAGAAAAAGAATTTGCTGATGTCTATAGTTTAGCCAAGGTTTGGTTAGTTTTAACGACGTAGAAAGATTTTCTTTGTTTATTTGTTCGTAGTGGGTGTAGCTGTTCTATACAACTTCCTAATGTGCATCCTTCAGCATTGACAATTTAACAGTGCCTATATTGATATCAAGCTTTTCATACTTTCAATCATCATAGCATGCATGTTATGTCATGTTGTCTAGAACAGGTAGAAACTGCTTAGGTGCATAAGTTTCTGCTCCTTTTCAGGAATCGTGCTCCACTACGGACCAAAAACCATTACCCTCCTGATCAGAAAGCGTTTTCCATAACCAGAGATTCTAGTGAAACGACCGGAAAATATCAAGACGTGAGGCTTCGTAACCACTTATCGTTTTTTTCTACACTTCTTTACCTATTCTACCGGTTTCATATCCATTCTTTTCGATAATACTTTGAGTTCAGGGACTTTGTTTTAAAGGAGAGAATAATCTTGTTTATACAGAATACAAAGGCAATGATTTTTGGACTAAAACAATGGCTTATGTTAGTTGGTTAAGGGTTAGTTAAGTCTATAATCTTTTTAGATCCTTTTATTATATACTGTGAGGAATTCGAAGTGTTGATTGTTTAGACCAAGTTTTTCGTACTTGGTGCTGAGACTTCCTTAGCAATGGGTACTGAGGATTTGATCAAAGGTGGTCAGAAAGTGTTCTCTATGATACTCGATGCTGTAGTGGGTGTGAGTTACTTTACGTGCGGTTTATGGGTCTTTAGTTTTTCTTAATTTTCTTTGATTCAGAGGAAATTGGATTCATTAGCACCGCTAACATTAGGACATTCCGTATTAGATATCCATCGAAAGTTAGTTTGGAGCTTGGTGGAAAAACAGAAGTGTGCTCTTTCGGTTAGTACGCTTGAGTTGAAATTATCTAGGATGTCACTACAATTACAAGTACGCTGAGATATAAAGAAGAATCATGGGCTCGAGATCCACGTGAGGTTCCAAGTTTTGCTCATATCTCACTGTCCTGCGGTTATGTTCACATCGTGTCCTGGCGTAAAAAAACAATAGACAGTAAATGAACGCTAAAACATATATGGGATGAAAGGATAAATGATGAAGATTTCGGCGTTGATCAATCCCTGAGGGTTGTGTCATTCATGCTTACTCTTCATTGAGCATCCTGGAGGTGATTGAATGCATATTTGGCCTTTACAATGACTCGCTATGGCCTACCGATGTATCGAGCCAGTGCTACTGTCCTTCCAGACAAGTCTGGTACCAATTTGCCGATCACGAAGAGATTGAGGGCTTGGTGAGCTTGGAAAGCGGGGATCGATCTCAAGTTTATTGCAGCGCCTCTCCGACCCGTACGCTTCACGAGCCGTTTGAAAAGGTTTCGTGGTTCAGGAAAATTCCATGGTTTACGAGCCATATCGGAAAGGAGTGTTTCGGACACGACATGCCCTCGTAAATGTACCAAATCGTTGTGTAAATATATGGGTTATACGAGAAATCTACACGGATTAAAAGATGGTCTTGTAGTCTGGTTATAACTAAATTTTCGTTTAGGTTACAAATGCCGATTTTGTTGGTGTTAATGGTTTTGTATACAACTGGGATGGGTTCACTACTGAGCGAGGTAGGATTTCTATTTTTTTGCTTGAATTCTTTTGATTCTAAGTTGTACTTCTAGATTTTCTTCTCGAATGTGTACAGTTATAAGAATGTAAGAAGGTTAAGTGTTAGGTAAGACCAAGTGCTTAAGAATTAGTTAGTGTTGTCTTCAAACCTACTGATCCGCGGTTTTGATGGCTATACTTTGTTTGCTAATTAATATTTCCACCATCTAAAGGTGTCTTTATCTTTAGGTACATTAGCACGGCTGATCCACTCAACAACTTTCGTTTCCCATGACGCTTCGGGTGAACTTTTGGATAAACCGTACTTTAAATATTCGATTGTCCTAACTGCTTTACTGAGAAAAAATGAATTGTATAGAATGGCAAGTTACCAAGTTTCTTCGACGTGTATCTTTGAGGGCATTGTTTAGATCACATTCCTTTAAATTCTTCAGATTCTTTTCTTTCGATTGGCTATATTAAATTCAGGTACGACAGTTGCCTTTTAATTTTAACGAAGATAGGATGTTACTGAAAATGCCTGCTGATTACGGGTTTATTACTCCGCGTTACGTGGTAGTACGCATCGATATGTGTCACGAGGTACGCCTATTAAAAGCTTGCGCTTCAGTATTTAAGGTTAAGCTTGGCATACTTGTCATTTTTTCGTTTTAACTCCACCTCGTTTTAACTGAATAACCTCTGAAGGTGTCATCCAAAGTGTTTTCTAGTGTTTTTTGTATTTATATGCTTACACGAGGTTAGTCCTTATTATAGCTGAAGTTTCGGCGCCCTCGCTTCTTCAGACCTGCAGTGATTCTAGCTGAGCGTTCACAGTCGTTCATTCCCGCCCTCATAATCGTCCAATTAAGTTGAATTGAGTGGAATATCGGCCTAATTGAAAGCAGTCGCGATGTGTTCATCTTTAACATATTGATGACGATACCCAATTTCTTTCTGACGGAGATAAGGACAATGGTTAATTTTCGGTCGCTCACGCAAGGAGTGCTATGTAACTTATGTCAGCCAAGGTTTCATCATTGGTGAGAGTTCAACCAATAGAAAAGCACTCACGTTTGATGCAGCCCATTCTCCCACTCTTCCACATGTATGATGGTCTCGTCTTCCTTGTACCTGCTGTACTTCTGCAATGTGATTAAAGCCAAGCGAATGGTCTCGATGATACTCGGAAGAACTTTTTATATAGTTTTAAGTGTGGAGTAAAGCTCTTCTCGGTTGTGGAAGAGCTCGCCCACTAAATTTATGTCGCGGGTAAAGTGGCAGGTGTTTAAAGTTTTGTAACATACTCGTGTTAGTTTGTCAATGAAATGTCAGATAAGTCCAAAAAATGCATTAGAAGAGCTGTGCGCAGTGAAGTAAAGATCTAATTATTGGAAGAACTAATTATATGTGGCCTGTACCGTCTCCAGTATTTAACATCCAAGAGGTGGAGGCTTTCATTAAACGATGTTTTATACAGTTTGGTGCTGATTTTCAGGTCATTACTCCAGCTCCGTTGTCCTTGTGTGAAGATGGATTGATATATGACTTTCATATTCATTCTTTTTGAACGGCGTGCGAGTTCAACTTAAGTTCGGAAAGAGTTCTGTGTCTCTTAGAAATAAAGAACTTACTCAGCTATGTTTTGATCTTTGATGCGGTATTTGTTCCGATATGAATTTCTTGTTTTGTATGTTTCTTTTCTCTTTTTTTGAACTCTTATCCCCTACTATTCTGGTGGTTTTCGTGCTGTTAGACTCACTGTGTAGTGTCTGTTTTAATTCCGCTCTAAATCCTATGACAATTATTTAAGATGCTTTCAAGCAATATTTAGGAATTCAGATATAGAAAACAAGAGGAATTCGACCCTACGTAGGCTTAATTAACGTTGCAGATTCTATATGGCACTTAGTATACCGTGAGTTCTGTGGGCTCGTGGTGCACTTGTGGTTTTACAATAGTGCATCCATCAAAAACTTTTTTAGCTTATATGCTTTACCAAGGGGAGTGTGTAGCGCAGTAGTCGGAGGCGCTCTGCAATATACAGCATCGATCCCCGTGCCCCAGGCTCATCAGGCCTTCCATCCTTCCGGGGTCGGTAGATTGGTACCATACTTGTCTGGAACGACGGTAGCACTGGCTCGATACATTGGTAGGTCACTGCGAGTCATTGTAAAGACCAGATATGCACGATGCTCGCTGAAGTCGAATGCATGGCGCATCTCTCAAGGATTGATCAACGCCAAGACCTGTATTCTTTATTTCCTGCATAAACATGTGGGTCAACGATTATATATGCACCTTAGGTCGAAGATTCTCTCGCGTCTGACACCATATCGTTGTTAAAGTTGGACAAATATTGTAGCATTTAGCCACGGATATCTACGAGGATCACTGTTATGCTCATAATCTGCAATATTGTTGAAGCATGTGCTTCAAATATTGTTGATTGGACGGCGTGAGGGTGGTCCTCGCTCTTTGACTGCAACCGGAGTTAGTATTTGGAGTAGAAAATGGCGGAAATGGACTGGTATTGTTTTGTAGCAATGGAAGTGTACTTGAAGCACACATTCGTAGACGGTGAAGGTCGTATAACTGATGGCAGTACTAGGAGTGGTTGCATGTACTTGAAAAGGACCAGTGTGCAGTCGGCATGATGTTTATTTCTTCACCTTGGGGCCAAGTTTCTTATATCTCTCCATTTGTAGTTCTGAAATGTACTGAGTTATTTTTACCTTGTGTAGACAAGATGCTACTTATTGTATGTCGAAACTTTTTCTTCTCATTATAGGCTTGTATGTCGTTCTTGGAGGACCCTGAAGAGCCATTTCGAGTGAGAGCTGGCGTGCAGCAATCTGCTGGAAGATCTCGAAGACGTGGGGATTTAGGTACAAGCGAAAACCCCATCGTCTTATGTCCATCTCCAGTTCAACCAGCATTGGCTGGGGACTTGTCAGCCGGGAGGACACAGTCAGTTTGTCGAATGGCGCGAAGGAAATGCCCACTCGGTGCTTACGTAGAGGTTGTGTTTAGTTAGTTTAGCCTATGTCTTCTTTCATATATGTAACTTGTGAATTTTAAAGATCATTGAGAATCCAAGGCCAGTGCGCTCGTCTTCAGTGGAGTCATGTAACATGGTTAGTACAGGCTTTGGTTCAGTGCTGATAACGGGTGGTGGGAAGGACATGTGTTGCAAGACGGGGTTTCCACGTACCGAATATCCTTTCTTTCTATTTTATTCTGGTGTCGTCCTTTAATCGTCGTATTTCGTAGTAAGTTTTGAGGCGCAGTTGCATTTTGTCAACAAAGTGTTTTTATGCCAACTCACGTACGAACTACCCAGAATATTCAGTTCCAAAGAATTGAAAATGATGAAAACAGAGGTATTAAGGGAGATTTTTGACGCAAAGCTTCCTTACTATTTAGCGTCTTTTATTTTTAAAATGTTTTCTAACTGTTCTACGTTCTAGAATCCACGTAGATTTTTGGTCGTGTTTACCTGGCCACTCAACGAGCTTAGACTGGCACAACGAGCCCTGCTTACTCCAGTGACTCGAACACCAAATTTCTCTCGAGGGTTTTCACTGAGAGTCTGATCAGCTGCTGGATCGTTTTCCAGTTATGTATTTGACATTTTGTGGGACACAGTCGTTACAGCTTTTATTCATCGGGTAGTCTTTGGGACGCATCATATGTCTAATCAGTGTGGATGCGGCGGAAGCATTCTTTGTTCTTGATTGTCAACATATGCTGAAGGCGATGATTCGCTTTCTTGCATTTTACGGGAGATGAACCTGAATTTAAATTTACCCATCTACATAGTGCTTAGATGTCGTGATGTGTTATGGTAGGGGTAGTCATGCAAACTCAAAAGTTTGATGCTGAGTCTAATGTTACATCTTTCTTTGTGTGTTTATCCTTTTTTATCCTTTACATTTTTGAGCTCTCGAAAGTAATCATTTCTTCTCCACTATCCTTGTGATTGTATTTCACGTAATCCCTGCCATGAAGAAAGGATAGGCAGTAAATAAGAGTTAGACATTGTGATTTTAGCAGCATCTTCAGCTTCGCTAAGTTTGCTGGCAATTTGTGCGCCTCAGATCATTTCGTTGACGAGTGATTGCTGATAAAAACCTTTAGTTTAAAACACTGGCTGACGAGTAAGCATGCAAAGGTCTGGTTTGGTGCAGTTGAAAACACATGAGCCCCTGAAGAGGTAATCTTGGGTTCGAAACACATTAGAATTTATGGGTTCTGGTCATATCTCAGCGTCCTCTTGCCTGTATTTCGCATAATACTCTGCCAAGAAAAAAATAGGCGGTAAGTAGAAGTTAAAACATTGTAAAGGTATTATTCTATTTTGTGCTTACTTCGTCATTATTAAGGAAATCTGTTCTACAATTTTATATTCCATTTGGCTTATATCATTCCTTCGTCGCGTAACTCTGCTAGGCTGTTGGGAAACTCTGAAACTTTGGAAGCTCTGAGGTTACTATGGATTCAGGAATGCTCGAGAGATTTCTCGGTACCAAAATTTTTTAGAAATTTGTAAATAAAAATGAATGGAGATCTTTTAGTGGAATTTCAAAATAAAATTGACCTTGCAACGCGTGGACTTCTCGTCCATCCATCGTATGAATGTTATATTGTTCACTCGATATAAGCGTTTTAGCTTTCTGCATTTGAGTTATTCAGGCTGCGGAAAACACTGTGTCGTTCCATTGTCCACAGACTGCAACTGAATTGGTAAATTACTCATTGGCATTTCAAGCAGTTTGTTTCGCAGTGTTTTTCAATATTTACTGGTTTATTAGTTTCAGTATGCCTCATTCCTTTATTGTCTTTTACTTACTTGGATACTTGGATGGTTTATCTTCACTGGTTGTCCGCACCCTAGCGCAATTTCTAGTTTTTTCGGAGTTTTACTAGTTAAGCCATTGTGGTTTCCTGAAGTCCCGCGGTCAGACTAGCCAAAGTCTGCCCATGTCGCCATCACTACAGGCAGTCGCCGCCCTTGTGAAGAGAAATTTGCCACCATGCGACTAGTATGATACCAAGATGGTGGTGGATCCTAGTATTAGTTTGTTCTTAGCTGGGTTTCCTCTTGGAAACCCCGGACTGCTCTTCAGCGTGGGATTTCTTGGTGGGATGGTGAATCCACCCTCAGCAGCCCGACATTCAGAAACACCTTTCTGCCACGATGCCACGATGAGGCGGTAAACCGGTGGGAGGTTTATTGTTTATTGTCTTTTGTATTTCATAAATTGTGATGTTCGTTTGGAGAACAGAAATATTTACGAATTTAAGGATTTCTTTCGGATTCAGCCGATAAATTTCAACCAATGAACTGGAATAGGACTAAGAGAAAAGCATGGTTGATTAACAAAAAAGCAACAGATTTAAAAATGAAACTGGCTGCTAATAATTATGAAAGCGATTTAATAGTTAGATTCAACCTAGTTATCTCTTTTTAGACTACGCATCCTTCTAGTGATTCGACGCAGCCTACGCACTCTGGAAATGTGAATGTAAGTGTTCTTCCTTGTCCCTTGCTATATAGTTTGAAAATTACTTCTTTACCAATGTCCCTATTTTTGTTTCAATTTTGACCTCCAGTTATTCCTGGTAGTTCAGGTGAAGTCTTCTAATAGTGAGGGATCATCTGTAAATCAGGTTGTTTCCGTTTCTTTATCTCATTCCTGATCAAACGCTCCTTTTTAAACACAGATTTCTATTACAGGTTAATAGCAATCAATGCTTGAGCGTTCCAGAGAACTTCGAAATTCTTATGAGGTGCTCAATTTGTATGGAAATATTTCATAATCCAGCAAAGTAAGTAGTTTATAACTATAATTTTTCCATGTGTAGTTAATTTGAAGGTCTCTAGTTTTAAAGTCTAGTGTGAGTCCATGTAACCACAAGTTCTGTTATTCATGTCTACTCTCTTGGAAGCGATGCAGTCAAACGGCTGTTTGTCCTCAGGTTAGAATTTCTTATCGTGGTTCTAATGAAACTCTTTCTGGAAAGGTCATTTCTATACCTTTTTTTATTCTGCGTATTATCCACATTTTTATATCTTGTGTGCCAAGAAAAAAGTTTTATCAATCATCTAACCATATTGTTGTCGATCTTTGGTAAGTCTTTAAGATCTGCAAAGTATATCTCGGTCTTTTCGTGTCTTCTTAAACCGATTCTGTGCGATTCTATGCGGTACCTATTATCCATCTAGCTTCCAGGAAAGAAAATCCCGTACTAATCGGAAGTGAAATTGTATGCTTGAGTCATTTCAAAGCTTTGAACTTTGTTTTCGACACAGTGTTGTTGGAGAACAAGAAGACAGTGAGGACATATGGGTAATATGGAGGAACATCTTGTGATCCTTTTAAAGAGTCTGGAAAAAGTGAATCGAAGGATGAGGACTATGGTGATGACGATGAAATAAGTGGTGAAAAACTGCACGCGGTGAGGGGTCAGAGAATACACTGCTCGTGACCGCTGGTACTCTGTTTGAGTTCAACCAGTTGCTCTTGCTGAGATATGCGGAACCAGTACATTTCATGAAGTTTCCAAGAAGATTATTTGGAAATTGTTTCTAAGAGACCATGGGATGCGGATAAAAAAAGCCGAGTCTTGGGAGCCGATAACTGTTGGGGAGATGAAAGGATATATTGGTCAGTGCCCTCAGATGAGAGTTGGATTACCGAAATTGAGGGACCATTGGAGGGCATGTTTCATTTTTGAATCCTATCAAAAGTAGGGCACACATTTGAAAAGTTGCGGAAGTGCGTTCACTTTTCTTCGTCTGACCAATAAATGCATCGTATGATGGACCAAACTAGTTGTCAATCCACTTTTTGATGTTGTTAATAGTGCCATATGGATTACCAAAGAAGTATGCATTGACTACATTTTTGTCCCTTTAAGGTGAAAGTCTCATGTTTTCCTAACGCATATCACATTAAAAGCACAAACATATACGAAAGTGGTTCAGATTGTGGGGGGGGGATAGGAAAAAGTGATTATACATATAGCATTAGTCCATCTTGGTAAGAACAAATCGTAAGCAGGAAAACAGGAAGTGTGCGTGAGTCTGCACTGACGTTGCTCGTGGACGATTTATTAGATAAGAGAAGAAATCTGCTTATTAGTAAATGGTATTCTTCTAGATGAAAGGCAAGTTAAGAGGGAAATCCTCTTCATTGACACTTGCACGAAAAGTGGTCGAATAGACAACCGTCATGTATCAAAATTTAAAGAGACCAATTCAAACCCAAACCCAACCAAAAAAGAGCGGTGTTATGGTTTCAGGTATGAACATAAGCAGAAATTATCATACCACGGTGTCCTTTACATGTGATATGAGGCTCTCAGCAAAGGGTACAGAAGATCCCAATAAATGAATTTAAAATTTAGGAGCGTCTCGGTTGGTTCAAAGTAGATAGTGTCTTTGCCTTTAATTGTCCATTTAGTAGAACGAATTCTGTTTTCAAAAAATTTCGCGGAGGCTGCTATAAGGAGCCAACATAATATTGCGATTTGAGATCTCTTGCAAAAGTTTCCAAGTTGGCATGCACTAGATGCAGTTAGTTCAAAAGCCGTTTTTGTTTAAAATGTTTCAATACATACTTGGCTACCTACAGCACATTATCAAGTCCTTTCTTTGCTTCGCAGTTGTCGTCCATGGTGCTGGTTTCATTCGAGCATATTGGCACGTGCGAGTATCATACTGTTATTTGCAAAACAACTGCAGCTACGAGTACAGCTGAGCGACTTTAATTACGAGCATTTCCGCCCAACGTGTGGTCGTCCTAAGTAACGTCTGAATCCTTGTGGTGTCCTCTCCACAGTTCTTTTCGTGTAACTGTCATTTGTTCTCATTATGTGATCAGCCCGTCAATGTTTTGCTGTCGAAGTGTGTTTTCCTGGGTCTCAAAGATGAGAACTATTTTGAAGATCAAGGTTTAGCATTCCGGTTAGATATTATGTATCGGTTATCTTTCAGAAGAAATCGTTCAAGCGCTTCGTTGGTAGCGTACAGTGTTCTTGACATGGTTAAGTACCAGCGGCTTTTTCGCGAGACCCGAATGCGGCCCAAGCTGCTCTCTTTCTTCTGATTCCTTCTTTCTGTTGTTCTCCATGTTCACTGAACGTCCACGGTACACGTACGAGGTATCTTCGATAAAGAGAGAACCATCCAGTTCGATTTATTCACCTTCGCACCATCGGTTTCTAACGAATTGAGTTTTCTTCCGATTTATGGATAGTCCGATCCTTTTTCCTGCTTCGTTGACTTCATTCGTTATAGTCTCCGCTTCACTGGTACATCTTGAAGAGATAACAATATCGTTAACGAAACGAGGGTTTAGTAGGAATTTTCTATGAATGCGTATTAATTTTGCATCCCAATAAGGTGACTTCATTATCCACAGCAGCACGGCATTATGCAGCTTTGGCAACATTGTGTCGCGTTGTCTTTTTCTATAGGTACGGCAAGAGCACGATTTTTTGTAGTGCATTGCCAGTAACAATCAGACGAAGTTTTTATGTAAGACGGGTTCACACCTTGGTCCTCGAGCGCTGATAGGATTGCGTTCGTTTCAACAGTGTCAGACGCTTTTTCACAGACGACAAAAGTCAGTACTAGGGGCATGTCGTATTGTAGACAAACTTCAATGACGCTAGACAGTATTGGATTCGGCCAAATCCGTGTCGAAATCCTGGTTGCTTAAGTGGTTGCGTCATATTCAGTGTCCTTGATAAGCGCCATAGGGTTATATTCATGAAGATCTTGTAGAATACACTCAATAAGCATACTAGGCGATAGTTCGAGGATTCCTTCAGTCACCTTTTTTATACACGATGAGAGTATGCGACGTCCTTTTGGCTGGGATTTTTTTCCTTTTGAAAGTAGGATATCATATGGTTTGAGGGAACGACATAAATATAGTGTCTTCCAGTTCTAAGGGAGTTGGCGGTGGTGTTATAGAGTCCTGAAACTGTGTTTTTGTTTCATTTTTTCTGTCTCAGCTCGAACCTTGGGTGAATTCCAGGTGGTTTTCTTCTTTCGGGGGTTTCCGGGTCCCGGACGTGGATGGGACAAAAAAGGTCGATGCATGGCCGTTACTGATTCCATATCATGTTGGGAGGTTCTAATGATTCCATTCGCAATGATGCTGAGAATTTTGCAAAATTTGGACTCCAGGCGAGATTCAAACCCTCGATTACCCTTTCCTGAGGATTACGTGCACCAACAATACCCTTGCTTTGCTTTCTTTCGGCCAGTTTTTTTTTGCCGTAACGGTGCCATCGGCAATCACCCCTCTTCATTCATCAGGACTGAGAACAGAGAACTAATCGAGCAAGCTCCGACGGAATTTTTTCAGAATGGCTCGTTTTGTGTTGCTTCTAATAGATTCTTTTGCTTGCATCGATGTAGATCTTTCTGCAAGGAAGGCTCTTCTGCAACTGGCATTTATTATAAGCCGTGTTGAGCATATTGCAGTGGGATCAAGCTTCAGTGTCCTTTTTTCAAGCAACGATAACAGAAATGCGATCTGATCTTTTTGTTTGAGGAACTGAGGTGAATTCGGCATAACTTCTAGGTTATTTCAACAGGCAGCTCGTAGTGTTCGGTCGGGTCTTCCTTAATCTGCCAGTTCCATCTGGATAGGATTTCATTCAGAATGTTCTCGTCATATACTGCTAGACTTTCTCTTCGTCGTCGATGACATGAATTCTTTTCCAGCTTACGGCTGAATCGAATCTTCGCGCGAAGAAGGCGGTAATCAGAACCACTCCAGAATGACGGGAGTTCGATATCTGCATGAGTCATGCCGTTAGTAGACTCTCATGTCCAGCGGCGGCTTTCTTTCTTCAAAAAAAGGGAGTTTCGATGGAATAGAGAAACTGCAGACAGGTGTTCTGCGAGACGTCTTCCATTCTCATTTCTTTCTTCCAGTCCAAATTTTTCGATCTGTATTCGCTCTTGTTGTCCTTTCCTACTCTAACGTTTAATTTCTCCGCGACAAATTTATGGCACGCTTTATTATAGCGAATAACCTACTCCAACCGATAGTGAAACGTATCTAATTCGTACTCATCAGTTGCGTTGGTCGGTGAGTAGCAGTTGATGATTGTGATCCTCTTATAACGCGTCAGTTGAAAACGGAGAACGGTTATGCGAGGGAAAAGGATCTCGTATGAGTCGACGAGATGGACAGTGGACGGGTGGACGACAAAGCCTACGCCGCCGACATTTCGTGACGGGACCTTTTCTCCACGGATCACAAGGGTTCCATTGTTTAGTTGGCGTATGTCGGTTTTCTTGATTTTTGTTTCTTATAGTGCGATCACATGAAATTTAATGCGATCTGCAACTACAAGAAGGACGTGAAAATCGGCGTCTGTGGAGAGTGTTCTGGCATCATGCGTGCATAGTAAGAAACAATCTCTATGGCGTGTCATATGTTTGTTCGTCAAATCCGGTTCCAGTGTTCTCGTGCAAAACCGGAGTTTTCGTAGCCTCTCACCGCCTGACGTCATAGACAGAAGCATCCACTGTGCGGGCTGCTGAGGTGGCCTATTGTTGGTTCGCATTTTGATCATCCTCGGAATCCTGACTTGACTCTGCAAGAGCGTTTTGAGGTCTTACCCAAAATTTAAACTGGAGAGAGTTTCTTTTCGGCAACGAATCCTTCGTTCTTTCTTTTTGCTGGTTGATACGGATATGGTATTAAAATCGTTATCAAAAATGAAAATGTGCATGAAAAAATGACCGACCTCTCAAGGACGATGTAAAAGCTGAATGTTTCAGTAATATGCAAAGAAGCGTAAGTTGTAAGAATTGTAGGCTGTTAATATGTAAAAAAAAAACTGCATGTTGTGAAGCTGACGAAATTGAAATGGTTGTACCACGCCCCGCCCCGCCCCGCCCCCACCTCCATTCCTGATGATTACAAGGTGTTCTCAAATGTCGAACTTCATTATGACAGTGCAGCCGACATTTTCGAATTTTCAATGAAATGCAAACGAGAGAGTTGAAGTCGTTGTGATATAGTTAGATAAACTGTCCGCTAAATATGAAGAGCATAACAAAAGACTGTGTGCGGCAAATTGTTCCCCAACGCATACGTTGGAGCCCCTGCATGCAACCGCTTCTGTGTTTATTACGCAAGTTACATTTCAGTGTCGTGGGCCAATTCAAGGCATGCATAAAGATGCTCAGTTCAATGAAGTAGTTGAATCGTTTTTGCTCACAAATCCAAGTGAGTTCATTCAAAGTATGATTGTTAAGATAGTAGAGTTTAATCTAAGACAAAGCCATGTTCAGCTTTAGGTATTGCAGAATATGCAATTTTTGAGAAGAGTGGAAGACGACGTAATAAGTAGTATTAAACGTTTGGGCGCGTGTAGCGCAGTGGTCGAAGGCGCCCTGCAACACACACATGGAATCGATTCCCGTGTCCGTGGCCCACCAAGCCTTCTATCCTCTCGGTTTCGACAAATCGCTGCCAGACTTGTCTGGGAGGCCAGCATCATTGGCTCGGTACATCGGTAGGCCGCCGGGAGTCATTGTAAATGCCAGATATGTATTCAATCACCTCTAAACGATGCTTAGAAGAAGAATCTATGGCGCATCTCTAGGAGATTGATCAACGCCGAGAGCTTTATCGTTTTATCCTTTTATTAAGCGTTTAATGTGTGACCGTACACTACTTTTATGGTATACGTGTGGATGATATGAACTTGTATGCAATTTGATAGCTTAAAATGAATAGGAATCCGTATAAATTTACTTAGTCTTCTCGGTAACTCTTAACGCCAATCCAATATGCTGTAATCAATTTTTTGCATGCAGTAAGGCTGTGTTTAAAATTAAGCACTCTCTATTGCTTAGTAGCCAAGAGTGATTTGGTATACCCTTAGATAAGCTCTGAGGTTTACTTATTCCTCAGGTTTACTTAAACAGTGAATATTATATTGGTGAATTTCAATCAACTGAATTGTCAGCATTTATGAGATTTTATCCAATGTTGATTGTCAATCGACTTCAATGTAGTTATTCATACTAGAAACGATTCATGGCTGCGAAGTAACACATCAAGGGTAAAGAGTGGATCCATTCTTCAGGAATGCACTATACTTCCGTCCTTGTTAAATATTTTAAGCACGATTGGATGCATAGTTGACAAACATTATGATCTGCGGAGATCTACTGATGTATTAGATTTCTATCCTTCTATACAAATTTGTTGCCAATCAACCGACACTGGAAGGATGAGGGGTTTGGTCAGCTAGGGGCAAAAGGTCGAATAGATCATGTTTCTCGTAGAGAATTTTTAACTTTTGCGCTATACACTTGCACAAAAGTACTATAGCACCCATCTTTTCGTCAATCGAGAACTGGCTTGAGCTGGACATCAATAAATTTTTCATTTGTCCCTATCGTCGGCTACGGTTGTCCAGCGTGTTCCGAAGTGTATGGCAGCGTTTCTGATTTCTAATCGTCAACGTAGACCGAAATTCCAGATTTCCTCTCACTTGCATGGGGTTGGATATTGCCAGCATAGTTTTCACAATTACATCTTCTATAGGGATTAGTGGAGTTTCTTCCTTCTTAGATAGCGTTTAGATTTCCGACGCATACATCTGGGTAAAAACAAACGTAGGGTCGAAAAATAAGCGGGGAATCGAATGTTTGTTGTTTTATTCGCTACATCTTTGATGTTAATGAAAGCTCAAATCAGGTACGTTTTTTCTGCGTAGCTGTAGGGTAAAAGTTTTTTGTCATTATGACTTCTCTGCCAAGATACACGAATTGTTTGAACTTTTACTTACGACCCATTATTTTTTCTTCATGGCACGGGATGATGTGAAATAGAACAACGTGAATGCTGAATATTAGCATAACTTAGAACCGGAACTTCATTTCCGCTTCTAACCCGCGGTTGCACTTCCCGGTCGCACATCGGTGAAAAGCATATTCGCCTGCTCGAAGCTCAACTTAGGTTCCGAGTGTTGCTCATATCGCAGCATCCTTGTGGCTGGATTTCGTAAAATTCACGTAGTTATAGCATTCGGAAATATACATTCTGTTGAGTGTGAATGGAACGTTAGAAACATCCGTTTCTCATGAATATGGGCTTCCTGACATCCAGTTGAAGACCACTCTCTCAACAGGGTTTTTTAAGCTACGAAATAACAAACAGTTATATGAAATGCGAGTTTTATAGAGGGGATGGAAGAAAATACCGGGCAAATCTTTAATTTACATTATAAAGTCTTGCCTTTGAAAAGAAGACAGATGGTTCATACGTTATTGGCACACTAGGACTTAAATTTTCCTTACCCAACCAACTTTGAAAGTTTCTTATTCATTTGGGCGCAGTTTAGCAATGTACGCCAGTGAGAAAGCAGGAAAAAGGTCGCGAGGGCACCAGAAACCCTGTGTGACTTCGAATCGAGTTGGGATTTTTCTTCTTCAATGCTAGGCTCTCTTTAAAACGATCTTAAGGCTGTAAATTTGAGCACAGCTTTATTGGTCCTTGTTTATTGCTGATTTAATTGAGTTTATTAAACGATCTTGGTTTTCTAGCCAAACGCCGTAGTTCAAGTGAATTGGAAGCTCTTGACGCCACGGAAGCTGATTTCATACAATGGCAAAACCGTGGACATTCGCGTACTCGACGAAGGGGAACAATGCCACAAACCCGAAGTCGTACATCTGCAGACAGGGCCATTCGAACTCCTCTTGTGATTCGTGTCAGTAATATTCGTGCTCATCGTGCTCCACTTACAAATCGCCAAAGGAGTCAGCAAGGGATTTTGGAGGACTGGTTCACTGTTTAGTGCACGGTAAGATTTTCTGACCTTCTATGACCTTTGACTTTTGACCCTCGTATATACACATATGTTTAAATATGTATATAGCTGCGGGAATAGTGCAATAACAATGGCGGATTCTATTCGAGAACTTTGTGGATTGATGTATTTTTTCTCATAGACGACTTAATTAAACAACTTACAAGTTTTTTTTAGTCCCAGCAACATGGAATTTTGAAATCCTAGAATCGTCGAATCATTTTGAGTGGTTTTTAGCAATAACTTAGTTGTTAAACGTTTTCCCAGAACTTAGCAGTCGATGTGTGCGAAAAAGTCAAATTCGGTTGGGAAGAGCTTCAGTGACAACGCTAGTGGAGACAAAGTTTTGGTAACCCACATTTTGTTTGACTCGTGGTGTTAATTAGGCGACATGACTTTCGTTAGTTTTCATCGATCATAGAGATTCCAGTTAGAGAATAAGAAGGGATGAACCTCTCGGCTTTGATCAAATCGGCCCAAATCGGCAACGAACCCAGTTAAGCTGAGGGTGCAGTTATAATCATTAATCACAATTTGAACTTATTATTTACTGCCTGCTCTTTTTAAAGACCGATAGAACTAGCTGAGAGACAGGCGAAACGAAGGACGAGCCTGACGTGGTGGTGAACGCGCTGCTCCCCGAAAAGGACAATAGCGCGTTCGTTCCCCACCGCATACATCTGCGGTCCGGAGTTTTGCAAATATCTCAGCATCATTGATGTTATATTTGTAGAATTCGTCATAGAAAAATCAGCCATTGTTTTTCCACTCAGCTCTATAAATTTTGCATTATAAATTGTGCTGGTATATTTTTAGGTCAGCAGTGGCTCCTCTACACATTGACTGTACTTGTTCTCGAGTTGGCACTTGTCTTTCCGTTTTATTATGTAATTTCACAGCTTTTTTGTAAACGGTGATCGGATACATTATGGTATTGATTTCAGCATTTCTCTCAGATTTGCTGTATTACTTACAGTATGTAGCGACATATTCCAAATGATACTCTGAACTCTTTTTTTCATTTCCTTATCATCTCATGATTAAACTAATCTCAATTTTTCAGACAGCTTGTCACCATTATGCATCCGTCATTTGATACGTCTTTTGAAACTAGTGATTATACAACTTGTGGCTAATTGAAGTAGATCTGTATTTATACAGTCTGGCTGTTTCCCTAACGGATTAATTTGAGAATAGTTTAGAATCGGCTGCTGAAATGCTGGATAAGTTGGTGTCCTTTGCAGTGTGTTCATCTGATTTTCTTGGCAGCAGTTTCTGAATTCATTTTGCGGATTTCTTACTCTGTTGTAGTAGAAGTTCTATAACTGGTTCTACAAAAGTTCTGTAAATACGTAGTTAAAACTTTCGATTTGGCATGATGTGACGTGGAAAACCTCGCTGTTCCACCGAACGGTTTTGCAGTTTCTTGTAGTGCTTTGTCACATTGGTGCCAAATCTAATCCTTTTTTGTGGACAATTATGATATCTGGAGTTGGCGATGTTGATTCTCTGTACTAAGTGTTCTCCATTACTCGTATAAAGTATGCAATTCAGACCACTCTCTGGTGTGCTTCCGTTGCCGTTTCTCTAATTTCTAACCTTCATGTACTTCGGATTTGTAACGAATAACAATCCCTTTTCATTTTATCCACCTAAGATTTTTTCCTACTTATTAATAAGAAGAAATAATAAAAATTGTTCGTGTAGTCGCTGTCCTAGAACTCGCATTAGGTAGTATCGAGTTTTGTTGAGCAATCATTGAGGAACTGGAAACTTAGCTGTTAGGTTGACGAAACATCCAGGAAATTAAAGTAACGAAAAGGAGAGGCTGGAATACTGTAAGTAGTGTCAACCAATGGATCTCTGGATCTCCGATAAAAAAAGAGATCTTTTAGTGACATACGTGTAGTCTATGCTGTAATGCTTCCTTTAGTGATAACTAGTGTTTTGAGGACTATTATCCTTCTGATTCTGGAGTTATCACTGCTTATCAGGATATTTAAGGCAGAGTTCTTAGATTTGGAAACTATTCATAGGTTTTTTTGTGAGGATGCCTCATTCGAGAAGATGGATCACTGAGGAAGACCTGGCTCGACACGAAGGCGAAGCTGCAACGTCGAGACGAACAACAATCATGGACCATCGACTCGGATCATCGGCTCTGAGGAAGACGAAGACGTCGAAACGTTAGCCGAAAATAAATATATTTATCAACCTCGTGCAAGCTTATCAAGAAAGAATGCATATTCATAGGTTTATTCTCCTGGCATACGGCTTCATAATATACCGGCTATATTCGACTAACCTCGTTGAGTCAAACTTAACTGAAGTAAGCACTCGTTTCCAATTTATAGAATGTATATTTTCTGGCGTAGTATTTAGTTATGTGCAATGTAATCATTGATTTATTATAGAGAACAGAGAAAAGCAATACTTTACTACGTCATCATTTTGTGTTCTAAAGCTAAGTAGGTATTTTTTGCGTTTGCAAACAGTGTACAAATGAATACAAATGAAGTGAAATGTACAAGATGAGGATACACCAGTCAGAACACCGGCTATAACCGATTTAGTGACATAGGTACTACCTGGAATCGTTTCAATGTAGTTCGAAACCGTTATGGCTCAGCCGTATTTCGTGCAATCTCGATAGTCATTGAGTAGTTCGAGCTTAACCCCCAAAACGCCTCAGCCGTAAACAATGACTCGCTGCATGATAGCGATATATGACGTCATTGTTGATATTCTTGTGGACATGTATAGCGCCCAGAGGTCACAATAAAGCCCATTATCACTTGTATATTGCGGACATCTCTAATCGGTAGGCTACACGTGAATATACTTATTTGTGCATCATAAGTTACAAATGAATCGAATACCAAAGCAACCATGCATGGAGCTGATCCCCAAGATCTACCAGCGTCTCAGGTTATACACAACTATTCACAGCTTACCTCCATGTTTAGCCGATTATGGTATACCAGACAGAGAGACCTTCGATATAGAAATAAATAGCCTCACAACTAAGCAGCTAAATATGCTTCGAAATCATTCTTACATCAAAAAAGTGAAGCTAGCGCATTTTGGAATAATATGTCTTCAAAAGAACTTTGACGTTCACAAATGCTGCCTCCTGCGTCCTAATGAAGGATGATCGCAAAGGATACTTCACGAGTTTTGAAAATTGAGTCTCCTTGCACATAAGATTAATATTACGCACGGTTAACGGTGAAAGACCAGGCAGAGCGACCTTTAAAGACAACTGTACTCGAGCTAATGAATAAGTAGTCAATTAGTTGTTTTTCCATAGCCCTTTAAAACAGATCATAATACCTGAAGAAGGTTTTCTAATAGACCTGTCCTCATGTTTGCAACGTCATCGTTATAAAAAAAAAAGATAACGTTCTCGGCGTTGACCAATCTCTGAGGGATGCACCATGCATTCAACTTCATCGAGCATCGTTCGAGGTGACTGAAGGAATATTTAGTCTTTACAATGACTCGCGGTGGCCTACCGATTTAACGAGCCAGTGCTGCTATCCTCCATGACATGTCTGCTACTCGTTTGCCAACCGCGGTTGAATGGAGGGCTTAGTGAGCCCTGGGCGCCGGGATCGATCCCATATAAGTTGCAGGCAGCCTCCGACCACTGCGCCACACGCGCCCACTGGATTGTCATCGTTATATGTTGATAAACTCCAAGTTGTGAAATATCTTAGAACCCACCATTAGCTTTCCGATAATAACATTCTCCTTGGTGACCAAGACCTAGTTTGTTATCTCACTGTACTTCCTGAGAAACAATGTCGCTGTTATACACGATTGCAGAAATTGTAGATTACAAAGCAGAAACGATTGAGATAATTGCCTTTTTCTGTGTAGTATGACTTGTCGTAGTGGTTGTTCACAGAGTGAACATTGTGAATTCGGGGAAAGTTGAAAGGCCTATACTTTACGTGAAGCGCCACTAACAGTATGTTCTTCCACAACTGGATTTGATCACATGCAAGCTCGATAATGTATGTTTCGAAACCGATGTGATCGTGTTTTTTTTCTTGAAATAAAAAAGAATAGAAGGAATGGTGTGTCGATCTTGCACAAGATGATGACTGTCCAGTTGACCACTGCTGTTGAACTATTAAGCACATCACAGTGGAAGTGGTTAATGAGTTTTCAATTTTTCTTTTTGGAAGAAATAAATGGGTCAACAGTGATGAGAACATGAAACAGTCTTGTGGCTGATCAGTTGATGGTTGCCGATTCATTCATGACCTTACCAGATTCATGACTAGTAGTTGTTCCGTTTTTCGCTTTGAAATGGACTTAATTTTCATTCAGAGAAAGAAAATCTAGTATACAATACAGCTTCATATTAATGGATTGTCTCCGCTGCTATCTTCATCGAATGACAGCATTTTAGGTCTTTGAGTTTACTAAGAATATTGTGGCATCCGGATCAAATGAAGTCTTGCATGATATTTCTGCTTGTTATAGCTCATATTCTCCCAAAGGTTTACCGCCTCATCGTGGCTGGGTGTTCCTGGGTGTCGGACTGCGATGTACAGCGGGAGGATCCACTCCTTGCAGGATCTCCCAAGCTGAGAGAGAGTCAAGCGTTTCTATCAGGAAGTCTAGCTAAGAGTAAACTAATGCCAGGATCCATCATCGCCCTGGTACCAAGTCGCATGTCGGCAAATCTCCCTCTGATCCACAAGGGTTGCGACTGCCCGTGGCGGTGAAGACCTGGGGCAGACTTTAGCCAGGCTGACCTCGAGATTCCAGGGAACCACGGTGGTCAAACCAGTAAACTCCGAAAAATGGTGATTATGCTGGGGTCCGGACAACCAGTGAGGACGGGCAGTTCAAGTATCAAGTATCAAGTATAAGCTCATACGAAATTAACGGCCATCCTAAGATGTATATTTTCGAAATAAATCGTCTTTTGAAAGCTAAACCTCTATTATGATGAACTGCTCTAACAGATTTTGAAAACAAAGGTGGATATTATATTCAGGTTAAAGCAGTCCAAGTATAAGGGCTTAAAGGCCTTAACAGAAGTTTGTCCAGAACATATTCTTTAAGTGAGGCCTAACAATGCACACCACAAATGCCTCATTCAATGCAGTAAGTGCTTAAAAATAACTAGGAAATAAACAATATTGCAACAAAAATTGCACGCTTAGAGGAAATTATTTCAGATTGTCATTGATGAGAAGAACGAAAAGGTAGAAGCGGGCGCAAATGATGAAATGCATGAAGAAGAGGAATCAGAAATGGCATCTCGACCTGGAGTGGACACGAAAAACGCAGGTCATTTCGTTCACGAAGATCCAGAGGTACTCGAAGTAAGTCTAAAGTGAAGCGAATCGCCTTTTGCAAATCCGAGCCAAGTGAATTTCTTGGTGGTATTTGCACTTATTCACTCGGAGATTTGCTTACACCGCTATCCGAACAGAACAATAAGTTAAAGAAAGGGAGAAAGGAGCTTCCGATTGCGAGCACGCAAAGGCTTCCGGTTGAAAACATAAAAGTGTCGAAGATGCAACAGACGGATAAAGCAGAAAGGCGAAAGGCAACCACTTCAGCAAATATCACAGTGAGTGCGATGCTGTATGAACTTAATATAACTTTGTATATATTATTAGTTTGTAAGTTGAAAGCAATCGAAGTAGACAAAATGAGTTGCAAACACCTACAAATACTAGTACGAATGTGGTTCCTTTCTAAAGCATAGGATCATATAGGGAATAGTAGCCTACATACGACACGTATCCCTAGAGCAATAGGACAAAGTCTTTTCTATAATTTCGTCATGCTCTTCCTCAACTCCTCTAGTTTTCGTAAATGTAAAAATGTATGTAATGTAAAATGTAATGAATGTAAAAATCTATGTCTAAAGAATATAAAGAATGAAATCTGTAAAAATTGTAAAACCTTTTATCTCAATACAAGAAAGTCCGTGAATGACATGAAACTAGACGTCGCCACAAGCGACACCCAAGAAAATATGAGTGCCTAACGTTATGTGTTAGCCAATGACAACCCATTCGTTAACATTTACGGGCTTTAATCTCATATTAAAGTTACCAAATAAACTTGCTTTAATCACACTTTGGAATGTTATGGAGAAATGTTTTCCGAGATGATAGAGGTCATAACTTTTTATTCTTATGTCAGTTTTTCATGCCCAGTTTTTCTCATTTATTCTCATCATACTCTTTTTCCCAAGTATTCTCAACCTATACAATTTTGATACAGGCTCTTCTCATATTGTTGACAAAAAAGTCCTGAAATATGACATTTTCAGGAAGATTCAGTAAAAACGGCGTTATCCATTTCAACACTCCCCGAGAAGGTAGGCATCGACAAGATGATGTGCTTTCTACAATCAGAATGATAATATTTGTTTGAGCCAACTTAAACTTAGGCCATCATGATTTTGAACAATGTTAGAGACTTTTAACTGCTTGTTTGGAAATTTGCTATATATCTATTCCTTCTTGAACTGATTTCTGATTTGATGCTTAGAACGATAATCATTAGAGTTAGCGAATTCTTGTAGAGAACAAAAATAAGAAGAAGTTGATCAGTTGTGAAATTTAACAGGAAGCTGGAAAGTATTCATTTATTCGCAATGGTAAAGAAAATGTTTCAATATATCAGCAAAACTTCGACGATGTCAATGTTAGTTCCGACTGCGACCCTTATGTGAGCGGTTTGGTTATACATAAAGTTGATATCTTTTAGAATAATAAGCGTAGACTTTTGCATTAAGGACAAACAGCGGAAAGAAAGTAATAGAATGGATTTGAAGAAGTTGAGAGCTTACTTCTCGGAGACAAAGTTGAATACAAGTCTGAACAATGGTGTGCTATATACATATCAATTTTTGTGCATAGTAGTCCGTAAGGTTCCATTAGAAGTGGATTCAGAGAGAACAACGCAGTCGCCAAAATTAATTACTGCTCAATCTTCAAGTGGCCCGTCCACGCCAACCGGATGTAGAAGGTTTCCATCCAAACTAGTACTACGAGCAAGGAAAAGTCCCACCAAAGAAGCAAAATTGTCCACCCAAAAAAAGAGCAGTTCTAATGCATCTGAAAAACCCAGCAACCATAATATTCAAGCCGCTAAAAACATAGGAATCGGAATTCTATCTATGCTTAAAGGTATGTTTCTTTCGTTAGTTCTTTTCTTTTGAAAAGTAGTGGTGACCGTTATACGTTATTGTATGTGAAATGAAATAAAAGTTATACTTGGATGATTGGATGGCCCATCCTCACTGGTTGTGCAGGCCTCAGCATAACCTCTATTTTTCGGAGTTTTGCTGGTTTAGCTATTGTGGTTCCCTGGAGTACCAAGGTCAGCCTAGCCAAAGTCTGCCTCAGGTCGCCATCACCACAGGCAGTCGTAGCCGTTGTGAATCTGAGGGACATTTGCCACCATGCGACTAGTTCGATACCAGGATGGTGGTCGATCCTGGTATTGGTTCACTCTTAGCTAGACTTGCTGATGGGAAAGCCGGACTCAGCTTGGGTGACCCTGCCGGGGAAATGATACACCCCGCTGTACATCGTAGCCCGACACCCAGGAACACCTTCCACCCACGATGAAGTGGTGAACCGTTGGAAGGAATAATAGTTATAACAAAATCAGTAGTGATCTTCTAAAACCGTAAGCATTCAACAAAACTAGTACGCTTTGATTCATTAAAGCATGATCTGGTTCTAAACGTAAATCACTTTGCAGTGAAAAAAGAGAAGAAATCACAGATGAAGAAATAGCTATCACCATTTTATGGATATGAAGCACTGTTTCCCATAATAAGCTGAAAAAATGCCAGATATTTTGAAATACAGAAGAAAAAAAGGCGCAAACAACAGGCTTCGAGTAACAATTTTGTGCAAAAAGAACTACGGTATCGTCAAAAAACCAATTTCATTAATCTATGGTTGGAGACCACATATTAGCTTTATACCACGTACCACTATTAGAGTGGTCTATTTCTAAATTCATCGAGAGCAAAAAGGTCATTAAATTATGATTGAGGACCTAGAACAATAGGAATAAACCAAAGTGCTTAATCTTAAACATAAAAAGAACCGGGTTTTCGGCCTGGTGTAAAACATTCTGTAGCCTCTTCCACTTTATAGCGTGATGACGTCTTCGGATCATTTAAATTTCAAAGAAACACGCTTTCGATGTCGGCAAAGCTTTGGTGTGAAGTGAAAGTGGATTTCTTATCACAGGAAAGCTACGGTGATAAGATTTGAAAGATGAACAATGACTATTTGCCGGTGTAAAAATGAATTAACCTGCCCCACTTTTGTGACTAGTCAAGTCTCCACGACGCGACGCTATAACAGTTGCAATCAGCAATGGGTATTTATCCAACCTACCCGTCGCCTGCGGAAGAAAAACGCCCATTTCATAAATATCTACTAAAAGGCTGAGTGTATTTAAGCTTAACAAACTAGCGCATCCAACAAACTGGAGCTCATTCCAGCTTATTTCTAGTCCTTAACCATCTTAATGAAGGGCGGACAACTTAGTGACAATGCTATCATTCACCATGGTGCTGGTTCGACCTCGCTCTGTGCTCACATATCCCCCATCTTTTCTGTGTAGGGAAATTCGTGGCGAAGTCTTCCGGAACCAGGTTAGCTCACTCACACCAGTCCACGTGGGTGACGCTGTAGTAAGGCTATCCTAGATCTCGAGGGAGAATTGACTCAATTAGCATTCAACAACATCCATAATAAATATGTAAATCCTGAAACAGCAGCCCAATAAACATGCAAGAAGGTTTAGAGGCTTTCGTGTATAATCGGCGCGAGGAAACAAATAGCGAAGAGTGTTGGAATCCGCAAATATACACGAAGACAAATCATGTAACGAAAAGGCTTAGCTCGGACCTCATAAGTTCACAGACCCGTAAGTACACTTATCAAGAAATGTATTATCTATTTGTGAGAAAGCACTGACTTGACCATGGAATATCTCTCAGGTTAGAAATATAGTAATTAGGTGAGCTAAGTCCTCAAACCATAAGCAATGGAAAAATGAAAATGAAAGAAAAAAGTGGAAGGCTACGGTAAAAATCTTTAGAAGGCTGATTTGCAAGCTTTATTTCGCACTTTTAAGTGAATTATAATGATATGATTTCCAACAAGAGTAGTCATTCCACAGCACTTTGTCGTCGGTACCAGAGATTTCATGAAACGCGCGACAACTAGAACTATTTCTTTAAAGAATTCCCGTTGTAGACGCTCTTCTTTACGCCACGTAATGTCGGATAGAAAGGATATCGCGGTATGAATGACTGAAAAGTCTCCATGATAACACGGTTTCGAGAACGGAATCAAGTTTTAAAGCAGTTCGTAAACTGCCATAACTAATAAGAAACAAGACCTCTACATTATCTGTGTCCAATGTTGTACCAACGACACCATTGATTGACTCTTCATAGGATGGAGGAGGTGGTGGATGAACTTAACATCACAAGAATATTTAAACTTATTTATAGTCTCAACTCAAATCTTTTCATGTTCTGAAGAAATAAGCAACCGTTTGTACCGCTCCATGTTGGATATGACGACAATATCTCTAGTGGTGGTGCTGTTGGTGTAACTGATGAAGTGCATGGCATATCTAGGTTCGGTGTTGTTGGTTGAGCAAAATACTTTGCGTTGTTCACCGGGACCGTACCCACTGTTATAGGAAAGCAAGACTCGATATCTCCGTTAAAGGTAGACATTGTCTTAAACTTTACCTGAAAAGCTTCATTGCTCATAAAGCTGAAAAATCTCAACGCTTCTTTGTTAAAGATAATAGTCAGAAAATGTGCAGTAGCATTGTCTCTACTATATTTATGGCATCCCATTTCTCTGCGGTTAAGGAAAAAATTTTTAGAATAATTTTCCACTCTTAAAATCATAAGATTAGTGACACCATCTATCAAAAACGGCCATGCTTGATTTTAATGCATACCCTCACACTGGGGTTCATAGAATACAGTTATTAGTTCGGCCTCCATCACAACGCAACCAAATCCTACATCACCAAAACTCCGACGAGTGGCTAGTAACCAAATCCTACCCTACCAAGTGACGCATTTTCGAAGAGCATGAGAATTGCTTTATCGATGAGGCCACGAACAAATTAGTACACAGACACCAACGGCCATTACATACCTTGGTCAATCGATGCTTGAGATGCAAAACCTCAGCGGCTCTATGGTGTGCCTCAAAGCCAAGAATTCATTTATGGCTATTATACATTACCTACTGTCATTTACAATAAGGGCGTCGAATAACGAAATAAATATAACAACCAAATAGCCTTAACAGCCTTCCCTACCTCGACCATATATTCCACACTGATTATTGCACAGCTATTGAAAGTTGGTACGGTAGGAGGTACTTGTAAGTAAAGTTGTACATTTCCTTCACTTTTCTTCTCTATACAAATGTCCTAAATAAGGGAAATTAGACATAATGGGTTTCGAACAACAGGAAACCATAACCAACATTGTTTCAACTATTAAAAACACAATCTCGCTCTTCGTCTATTTTTTACACTACAAGACGTTCTAACACTTCTCGAAGAAAACGACACATTCATATTCCAATGCCGAGGTTAAGAGAAAGTCGATCCTGGGAACTCTTCTTGACATTTCCACCTCTTTCCTCACCAATCCATGGATCTCACTCATATAAGGGATCTCGAGCCGTTTAGTCGCGAGGTTACGTGGTGCGCCCCAAGTGGCGAATAAGGGGTTAATAGCGGACCAAAAGCGACCTTTGCTTTCCTGAGACGTAGGTGGATCCAGAGGATGGACTCCTTGTTTCCGCTGCCCCGATTTGGCGAATACTTTCTGTATTTTCGAGGCGTATTCATTCACGCGTGTGTGGGTGCATTCTTGCTTATGCGGATTGTATTCTACGAGTCAATTCGGCTAAAATCCTGCAATCAAGTGACTGGGAAGTATATGGGAAGCTGTTAAGAGTCGCCTCCAACAAACGTGAGTATACCCAGCCCCCATGTTCAGTACTCAGCAAGCTATACATGGGTATCAAAAAGCTAAAAACGGTAAAACAAACAAGCCTCATTCCCCTGACCCCGAAAGAGCCCCGAGTTTGGCAGCGCTGACTAGGACGAGTGCGGAGAGGTTGCTAAAATCTCAGAGCCAATGGAAGCTGCCTGGATCATGAAGAACTAAGGCGACGATCTGTACCTATAATGTGCGTACACTTGCATCCAAGTACTCGATCGACTTGCTCAAGCAAACAAGTAGGATAAGGTACAACGTCATCAGCCTGGCCCAGACAAGAAGACGCCGACCTTTCAACGCCCTCTATGACATCGGAGAAGAAATGTTCCTCGGAACATGCGACA